TTATATATAAGATACCATTTATTATCTTTTTAATATAATAAAATTTTATTATTATATATTTTTATATTTAAATTATAATTTTTTTATTTTAAAATAAAATAATTTAATAAAAAATAAAAAAGTGTAAAAGTACAAATATATTTACTAATATATTAGCAAGAGATTATTTGAATTTGTTTAATATTATTAAATTTAACTCATAAATATATAATTGTGTTAAATTAAAAAAACGTTTTGCCGTTAATAATGGTGATGTGATTTAAAGAAGGAAAATACAATCTTAGGATGTATTTCTAATTAAATAAGATTATTTAGGCATTGAATGAGAGAGAGAGTCACATGGGTGAATGTGAATGTGAGGATGTTTAGGGGACCACATCCACAGGGCATGCAAATGCAAGTAAAGATAACAGACATGGGACATGATGATGATCATAGAGAAACCCCCTTTCATTTTAGATGTGCCATTTTAACTACTATTTCCACACTTCCCCAACGCCATCACCATTTTACACCCACTTTAGATGCTTCTTAAAGCGCTTCTTTTTTTCACTACAGGACAAACCAAACTCAGATATATACACGTAGGATTTGTTAGTATATACTCATTTGTTTATTTTTTAAACATGCTTTACTACATTATAAATATATTTTCCTTAAAATACATTGAATATGTAACTTGTTAACATATTTTAACTAAAAAAATAAGTAAATATAGATTAATGTCTATAATTATTAATTTATATCTACTATTCTTTTTTAAAAAAAAGTATGTTAGATGCTTAAATTTAGTTCTTAGTGCTGAGATTAATAAAATTTATATATTTTTTAATAAAAAATTACATAATTATTGTATTGAAATTATAAAAGTATAATAAATACTTTTCTTTCTAATAAAATTTTACTATTATCAAAGGGTTAAAGTTAATAAAATTATTTTTAATATAGATTAGTTACATTCAATGATTCCATCAATTATAAATATTTGAATCATAGTAATCTAAAAATATATGATTACAATTTTTGAAATTTTTGATTGAACTCCTAACTACTGTTAGAGTATCATAATACCTAATTTATAGGAATTGTGTTTCTTTTATGAAATATTCTTTTTCTAGAAAGTTGACATTAAACTAAGTTAAATTAAATACAATGCTTTAAATATAGACTTAATTACAACTCTTTAAAATTATAAATGTATTATTACAAATTTTTATCATAAACTCTAAGTGAGAATCTAAAAGAGACAAAAGTTATAAAGTATTTTAATATAAAATGTATCTTGATTTATTTAATAATCTTTTAAGATGACATGATCACTGCAAAAAAAATTTAATATTAAAATTATTAAATTTTTTATTTAAAATAATAAATATATTTTAATATAATAAATAATTTAAATTATGATAGATTTTTTTATTGTAGAATATCTTGATTCTTTTGATGTTCGTGATTATTATTGGGTTTTTTTTTTCTCTTTCATTATTTTTGCTTCCATCATGCTACTCCTATCACACAAAACTCTCTCTTATAGGTGAGAAATCTCAATCTATTATTTTTTATTTTCTTCTTTCTTTCGCTTAAAGATGGAACTCTACATCCTCAATTTGCATTTAAAATTCTCTCATAAATTAGACAATAAAACTCAACTCAATTTCTCAACTGTTATTCCTAATTTGACTATTAAAATAATGATTCTTATCTAGTGTGACAGATATAAAACTAAACACTCACACCTATAGAAGAGACATGTCAAGGAAGTAATGACAACATTAGAGGAAGGATGAATTAGACTTTTATAAAATGGGGTTGCCAAAGGCGGTGACAAATAACTCATTGGTGATTATCTCCTAAACTATCACTTAGTTAGGGCCTTGAGTTAACCACTTTAACTTGGGATTTCAAAGGGATCAGTTATAGTTCTAACAAGTCTAAAAATGTCATTTACACTAATATATCACTTCATGTGTTTCTTATCACCGCAATCGTCATCGTGCAAGATCAAATTGCAAAAATCTAACACATTGACATTAAATAAGAAGATGGATTAGTGAAAAAATTTAGAAGCAATGAGGTATTTGAACAAGAAAAAGGCATAATCACGTCGAGCATCATAAGGAATAAGGAAGAGACTAAGATTTTGCTATGCATGCAACAATTGCTATTGGCAATGTGTCCTTTGGTTATTTCATGTTAAGACATCATTTAGGTCAAAGTGGTGGCATTGTGGGTAAAGAGGAAAGGGAGTTAAAAGTAATAGCAACAACATAGATGAAAAAGAGAAAAAATGTAGTGATATTGACAAACATAAGTTAAATTAATCCTTGAGATTGTGATTGAAATGACATTATTTTATCTAGTTTAATTATCTTAAATATCACTTAATATGATATGTCAGTAATCATTAACATTGTCATGACAAAAAAAATATATTAATGAGACTAAATTGCTGGACATTTGATAAAGTCAAGAATTAACAAGTTTATTTTAAAATTTTTAAGACCAATTTACTCAATAGTTACAATATTAGAGATTAATATGGGATTTACTCTTACTTAATATATGGTAATACCTATAATTTTAATGTAAGATACACAAAATAGCCTTAGATGCATTATTTGTTCTTGATGAGAGAAGTAATTATTAATAAGTAGAACCATTTTATGATTATTGAGCAAGCATGTGATGTTAGGTGGAATCTATTAATAGTTTATAATCTAACTTATTCAAAATTTGACTTGACTTATCCTATTTAAGTAATAAGCTAAATTTAAGGTTTTAAAAAGCTTTAATTAAATAAGTTGAGGTTGAGTTTTTAAAAAGACTACTAAACTTGATAGATTGACCTATTTAAAGTTCACACTATTTTATAATAATATTTTAATTATATATAAATTATAATATATTCATAATATCATATTGAATAAATTAAATTTTAAAATAAAAACTCTAAACTTAAAACCATTTTTATCACCCTTTTAAATATAAGTCTTGTGGTCTTTTAGACACAAACTTATTTAGATAATTTAATATCTTACTTGTAAAGAAATTTTATAATCTTTTAAATATTTTAATATAAATTAGGTCATTAAAAACACTAATAAGTCTGGTAAAATTCTTTAAAAGGCCTATAATAAATAATTTATTTGACTTAAATTTTAAAATTATTAAATAAATCAAATCTACTTATGTAAAGTCTAACCTGTTTTAACTTACTTCTATTTTTAGTTAGGTGGAATGATAATACACTTGTATAACTTATCTTCTCACTTGCTTTATTTTTTCGAAATACATAGTCTTAATATTATTATTTTATTTTATTGTTTAGACCTTCTATCTTATTTTAATTTAAAAAAAAATACATAGTAGAAATATTATGAAAATAAAAATCTTTTAATAATTAAATTATTTAGATAATTTTATTTTGAAGTATATTGTTAAATTAGGGTTATTTATTGATATAAAATTATATAATTTTTTAAAATAAAAATTTTGTAAATATTATTTAAAATTTTTGTAATTTATATCTTAACGTACTACTTTTAAACTATCAAAACACTTTTATAAATTGCTATAAATTAATAGTTTAATTTAAAAAAATAATTTTATTTGAGTTGGAAAGGACTACTATGAATCATAAATTTTTTCTTTAATATTTAAATATTTAAAATAATATTATTTAAATATTATGTTTTAAAACTACTATTTTTAGCGAAGGGTACTGTGGCTGTGGGGAGGGGATGAAGAGCCGTATCTTCCTTATCGGCTTAACATTAATTGTTTATGTTTATCAAATTTCAGACCATTCTATTGAAGTTCGAAATAATGTCATAATATAAATATAACAAAATTATTTAAATTAATAGCAATAAATTGATATCACAGTTCAAATTATACCTGATATTTCTGTAAGTTTGATACTTATAATAATTATTTTTAATTAAATAAGAATATATCTTATTTTTATTCTATTATATTTTTACTCAACTCTCTTATCCTTATTGTTTTTAATCTTATCTTATCTAAAAAAATCCCACTTAAAATAATAAATTTAGGAGCATTCTTAAAATACAAATTCATAAAGGATGACATGTTAAAACACACAAGACAATAATATACAAAATAACACACAAGACAATTACTATTTAATCAAATAAACAAATTTTAATATAAATACACAATATTACGCATCTCTATCAATTAAAGATAATTATTGTAAATGTCATACTTGTAGAGTAAACAAACTTGAAAAGGTAACATTACAAGTAGCCCTTAAAAGTATAAGCTTTTAACATGTAAAAATGGTAATAAAAAATAATCTTAATTTGTCACGTAAGTTCTTATCATCAGCTAAAAATTACATTAAAATTCCTTAAAAAAAGCTCTTAAATTTATATTCTACTAATCTCAAATTAGGTCTTATTTATCATTTTTAAATATTAAAAAGATATTAATTTTTTTATAATATTTTATTTGTTGCTATCTCCCTTAAAGTTACTTAATTGATAATCATACTTTAACTTTTGGATAAAAATATTTGAATAAAAACATTTATTTTACTATAACTTTTAGTTTAATTAATACTTTTTAAAAATATACAGATTATCTTAAATGATAAAAAATGTAAAATAAGAAATAGAAAATAAAAATTGATGTCATCAAAGTACACTTATTGCAACAAATCATAGAAAGCCTCCATACTCCACATGCCATCAATGAAAGGAAGATTAATTTAATTGACAATAGAAGCAAAGACTGGGCAACAAGTGGATTGTTTAACCCATTAATCAATGTTGACAGAAGATAATTCATAATTATCTCAGAGGGGTATTTTTGGAATCCAAAATAAAACATGGGCATTTCCGGTATTCCACATGGGAATAAAATCCGAGCATGGTCGCCATGTCATTGTCACGCAGATTTGTGATTGCCATTCCCAGTTTTTCATTTCTCTCTCTCTCTTGTGTTGCAATACTTCAAATTCGGACACACAGAGGAACATAAAAACGAGAAAGTGAGAAAGACCCAGGTGAGAAAAAATGATTCATCTTCAGAATCAAAATACCTCTGATGGACCACACACAAAATATTGCACTCTAGCATAGTTAGAAATAGCAAAAAAATGAAGGTGTTTTTCTAAAGCTTTTTCCATCATCCTTGGAACATGGTGTTCCTCTTCTCACCTCAGCAATGAGAACTGAGGAGGATGAGACACTGTTGGTGTGAAATGCATTAGTGTTAGTGTCAGAAGTAGAGAGAGAGAGAGGAGGGCTGGTAATGAATAGGGTCATAGACTAGTATAATATAATGTTAAATTGATTAATTTTAACTTTATTTTTGGTGAAGTTCATGGGAGACAAGAGCGTATCAAGGAAAATCTTTAAAATTCGATTTTTTCTTATCTGTTTGATATAAATAAAAAAGTGAACAACAGAGAAAAGCAAGCATAAAAAAGGTCATATATATATATATATATATATATATATATTAGGAAAAAAAAAAAACAAATAAGAGGGTGTTAGAGCGAGAGACAGAGATTTAAGACCAAACAAAAACAGGTTCCTATGGTTCATTATACAGCCACCCTCTCTTGCCTGTTACCGGTAAGCATTGTTTCTTTCTACAAAACCCCATTACCATGTCTCTCTCTCTATCTTTTATTGGGTTGTGTGTGCTTGTGTTTTGGGGTCAGTCTCTGTGGTTTGGAATATTATTATATCCAAAGAGGGAGCGTGAACGTGCTGTTCTTGTCCTTAGGAGTAGTTCCACGCCTACATAGCATGATCATTGGTTAGAGTTCTCTTGATTTTTAAATGTGATCCTCAGCACTCCAAAGTCTGAAACAAAACCAAGCATTTGGGGTGTAGAGAGAGAGAGAGAGAGAGAGAGAGAGAGAGAGAGAGAGAGAGAGAGAGAGAGAAAGAGAGAGAGAGAGAGAGTGGCTCTTAGAAGTTTGAGCTGTTTTTGCATCTTTTGAGACCCATGCTTGTCTCTCAGCTTGGAAAGTTTCCTTCTTTTAATTCTGGGCTTCTTGTTTCTTTCTCTTTCTAGATTTCTTTTTGTCTTGGTAATTTCTGATGTGGGTTTTCCTTCTTAAGCGAGAGAAAGAGGAGGAATTGGCCAGTCCTTCATTATGCTTAGTGTGTTTGTGCTTGCCCTTTCTGAGGTTTGGAATCACGCAAAACAATGCAGTAATGATGCTTTTTGCTTGGAGTTTTGTTATGTGACCCTTTTTCTTTTCAAGCAGCAGAGAAAAGTGTCTGGAATTTTGTCAGAACTTTAAGGAAAGTTAACCCTCCTATGTGAGCACTAACTATAAATTTCTCTTCTTGGGACATCTCTAATTATAGATATGAAGGGGAGCAAGGGGACATAGCAGCTCACAACAACTAGGTAGAGTGTGAATTTCTTGCTGATGGGTCTTAGTTTGAAGATGCAGAGCCACCATCCTGTGGCTTTGAGGTTGCATGATCAAATGGGGTCTAAAAGGAAGTACACTTTCATTCAGGCCCATAGAGCTTGGTTGCCAAAGTTTTTGCTGCTGTGGATCCTGCTAATGGCTTTGATCAGTTGGTGCATCTATAGTAAAATGGATGATGATACTAAAGTCAGAAGAAAAGAGGTGTTGGGTAGCCTCTGTGATCAAAGGGCAAGAATGTTGCAAGATCAGTTTAGTGTTAGTGTTAACCATGTCCATGCCCTTGCCATCCTTGTTTCAACCTTCCATTACTACAGAAACCCTTCTGCCATTGACCAGGTTAGTTCTTGATCTACCACTCCAATCTTGATTTGAAAACTGGCTATGTATTATAGGATTAATATATGTAATGATTTGAAGGAAATGAAGGGCTATCTGAGGCTTTCACATTTCTACTTACTGTTCTAATTGTGTATGTTTCTAAATCCTGTTGCATAAATCTTGACTACTGTTCATTGCCAAAATAAAAATCAGGAAACCTTCGCTGAGTATACAGCCAGGACAGCATTTGAACGACCGCTACTGAGTGGTGTGGCTTATGCACAAAGAGTTGTTAACTCTGAGAGGGAGAGATTTGAGAAAGAACACGGATGGGTTATAAAGACAATGGAAAGAGAGTCTTCACTGGTCAGAGATGAGTATGCACCGGTGATATTCATGCAAGAAACTGTCTCCTACCTTATGGCTCTTGATATGATGTCTGGGGAGGTAAATCACAAAATTAGTGAAGAATGATCTACTTTTTATTTTGTAAATTTCCACCTCAAATTTTGGTTTTGCATGTTCAGGAGGACCGAGAAAACATTTTAAGGGCTAGAGCCACTGGGAAAGCGGTTCTGACTAGCCCTTTCAGGTTGTTGGGTTCTCATCATCTTGGTGTGGTTTTAACATTCCCTGTGTACAAATCTAAGCTCCCTCCAAAGCCAACAGTGGAAGAACGCATTGAAGCAACTGCAGGGTAGGCTCTAATATCACTTGTACTTGTCTTTCTACTTTACTTTTGTAATATTGTTGGTGGTTCTTCTTGTATTCTATGGCATTGTAGTATATGGTTTTAATATTGTGTCACGTTTTCATAGCTTAAATAATAATTGACTACACTGATGTCAAGTGTCAATACATGCTAAATTTGTCTACCACAAATCTGCCATTATGAAAATATTATTGCATTTCCTCTGCTAATCATCAAAAGCTGTGACAGCGACTGCTTCTTCTTTTTCCATTAGATCAGGAGTCATGCTAATTAATTAAAGATGTGACTACTACATTTTAACAGTATCACAATCCCCGCTGCTTGATAATCACTTTTGTGCTACCTGTTTTATTTCAGTCAATACCACCTTGGATGCTGTTGCCATTTCCCATGACCACTGACACAGTTTGAGGACAACTATTGCCTATGCAAATTGCAATTGACACAACCAATAACTGGTTAATGAACAATCATTAACCACTTATTTAACATACTTAACCAATTGAATGTTAATTGTTTCTATTTTACCTATAATTTCTGCTTTTTTATGATTGTTCCATTTTTTAAAAACTTTCATGGGCTTAAATTATCAAATTCAGGGCTGCATGTGATGGCTAGAATGATTGTGTAATTTGTACATGTAGTTTGCAGTTTGCACCTCTTCTAATTCTGTAGTTGCTTCTGATTGAAACTCAATCTTGTGGCATTATGTTTACTGTAAGCTTCTTAATATCCTAGTGTATTCAATAAATTTCTGATTGGAATCAGATATGTTGGAGGATCCTTTGATGTTGAGTCCCTTGTGGAGAATTTACTTGGGCAACTTGCTGGGAACCAAGCAATTTTGGTCAATGTGTATGATGTCACGAACTATACTAATCCCCTAATCATGTATGGCAACCAATATGAAGAAGGTGATACATCACTTGCCCATCAAAGCAAGCTTGATTTTGGAGATCCATACAGGAAACACCAGATGATATGCAGGTAGGAGCTTCATGCTGTTGTACATTTTCGGTTAGGAGCTTTAACTTTTTCACTTGTCAGCCCATACTTACAAATCATCAAATTTTGAATAGGTACCATCAAAAGGCACCAACAAATTGGATAGCTCTTACAACGGCGTTCCTATTCTTTGTGATTCTTCTATTAGTGGGTTACATTTTGTATGGTGCTGGAAATCATATTGTCAAAGTTGAAGACGATTTCCATGAAATGCAGGAATTAAAAGGCCTAGCAGAAGCAGCTGATGTTGCCAAATCCCAGGTAATTCTCCTGGCATGTTGTTATCAATGTTCACTTCAATATTTTCAGGGATAACTAACTGATCACAATATACTAAATTTTTTTATAATGTCAGTTTCTGGCTACAGTCTCGCATGAAATTCGAACACCCATGAATGGTATTTTAGGTAACTTCAAGAGTCTGCCTCTCTTTACAAAAATGTGACATGTGCCTTCATAACCGACACTTTTCTATTGATGATTGATATCATTTAACTCCAAATCGCTGTAGGAATGCTTGCTATGCTTCTAGATACAGAGTTGAGTTCAACCCAACGAGATTATGCTCAGACTGCTCAAACATGTGGAAAGGCACTGATAACATTAATAAATGAGGTGCTGGACCGAGCTAAAATTGAAGCTGGCAAGTTAGAGTTGGAAGCTGTTCCGTTTGACCTTCGTTCCATACTTGATGATGTCCTTTCTCTTTTTTCTGAGAAGTCTAGAGAAAAAGGCTTGGAGGTACATCTAATTGTTAGATTAACCTATTACGGATGCCATAAGATTGTTTTACCTCATCCAAGTTATAAAATTTCTCCCTCCTAATTATTTTAATTGATGAACTTATATTGTTCTTCCCTCTCTATTTCACCTTTCTGGGATCTTGTGTAACTGGATTCATATTCCTGATGCTCATGCTCGACTTCAACCTGAACTTATATTGCTGATTGTGCAAGTAAAGCTGGCTGTGTTTGTTTCTGATAATGTTCCGGATATTGTCATGGGAGATCCAGGGAGATTCAGACAAATAATAACAAATCTTGTTGGCAACTCGGTTAAAGTAAGTGGAAAATTTTAAGTCTGTTCATTTTCAGATGATATTTGCATTTGGAAATATCATTCTAACTGTTTAATCGTTTTTGCTTTTAGATTTATCCTTTTTGTTTGTTCTTTTTCTGTCCGCCGGGGGTGGCTATGGAAGAGAGAAGAGCAATGATATTGATGCTTGAATCCTTCATATTCATTTCTCCATTGTATTCATAAAATTTATTCACAAGGTATTTGTTGATAACATTACTAATTATTTTGTGTCTTGCAGTTTACTGAACAAGGACACATATTTGTTAAAGTCCATCTAGCAGAAAATAGAAAGTCCATAATGAATGGACAACATGAGACTTTTTTAAATGGAGAATCAGATGAAGTTTTCCATTTATCTGGTGATTATCATTTCAAAACCTTGAGTGGATGTGAAGCAGCTGATGAACGGAACAGCTGGGATAATTTTAAGCATCTAATTGCTGATGAAGAATCTTGCCTGGATTCTTCAAGAGAAATGGTGGCCTCTTGTGAATCTTCTGAGCAAGTCTCCTTGAGGGTCTGCGTGGAGGACACTGGAATTGGAATTCCTTTCTCAGCACAGGATAGGATATTCATGCCTTTTGTGCAGGCTGATAGCTCAACCTCACGAAATTATGGGGGTACTGGTATAGGCTTGAGTATCAGTAAATGCCTGGTTGAACTAATGGGTGGCCAGATAAACTTCATAAGTCGACCCCAGGTTGGTAGCACGTTTTCGTTTACTGCAGTTTGTGGAACATCGAAGAAAAGATCAGCTAGTGACATGAAAAATTTGGAAGATCTTCCTTCCATTTTTAAAGGGCTGAAAGTCATTGTGGTTGATGGAAAACCTGTTAGAGCTGCTGTCACTCGATACCATTTAAAGAGATTAGGGATACTAGTTAAAGTTGCAAATAGTATCAGTAAAGCCATTACTTTATGTGGTAAAAGTGGTTCTTTGATGTCAGGGTAAGTTTTGTTTTTGTTTTTTATTTTTATTTTTGGCTTAATTGCACTTTTGGCCCTATATTTTAACATGTGCAATTTTAGTTACCCTAGTTTTAATTGTTCACATTTAAGACCCTCTAATTTTTCAAATGCGGAAATTAAGTCTTCTACTAAAAAATTAAGACTTTTATTATATTTATACATTTTATTTTTATTTAAATATTTTGTATATTTTTCTTTATTTATTTGTATGTATCAATAAAATGTCATACTTTCATTATATTTTTATTAATTATTGGATAAAATTTTAGGGTGAAAGACTTGATTTGAGCATTTGAAAAACTAGAGGGATTAAATGTAAGCAATTAAAACTATGAGGACTAAAATTGCACATACGTTAGAGTACAGGGACCAAAAGTGCAATTAAGCCTTCTTTTTTTTCTATGGACAGAATTGGTGTTAATTATGAAGAAACTGAAAATGATAATAAGCAACAGAAGTGTCATCATTTTGATATATGCTGGTGGTTTTAAGTTGAGCCTTTAACCCCTTTAAACTAACTTTGCAAGGTTATTTGGATAGATATATATTCTGCAGTTTTACCAGGGTGTATACCCTGCTATGGCCCTACTAAATTGCAGGGTTTGTATTCTATATATAGAAAGGCATATGTTGTTTGAGTAAGTTTCTAGATAAGTTTTTATAAGAGAAGAAAAATTCATATGAAAAATAAATAAAATTTCTCTTAGAAGCCAAAAACAACTTATATTTCTTAAGTTTTAGAGAAGTTAAATGAAAGACCTTTAAAAAAAAAAAAGCATAAGTTTGTTTTAACTTATGACTATGAAAGGAGTTTGCTTTATTTTACTACTTAATTTTTTACTCCTGTAAGTATTTCTTGAAAATATTTTCCAAATTGGGATAATAGCATAGCACTTTTCACTCAAGTACTAAGTTGCCAACTTGCCATATGGTGAGTTTTTCAACCCTGATACAGTTATCTTCAATATAAACTCAATTTTTATGGAAGAAAAGAAAAGATAGAGGAAGATACCATGTTTCATATATCTATTATTAAGACACCAAAATGTTAAGCCTTTTGTATTATGCTATAAACTTTTCTTTCTGTTTTAAGTTACTTGGTTCAGTTCATTCACCGAGTGAAACTCCTTGGATATGGCAGAACATTCCAGCCTGATATTGTCATGGTTGAGAAGGACACATGGATATCTGGAGAGGATGGAAGTTTCAATGTATGGAAACAGAATGGTCATATGTTTAAGATGCCTAAAATGATCCTTATGGCAACCAATATTAGTAGTACTGAGTTTGACAAAGCTAAGGCCACAGGTTTCACTGATACTGTAATCATGAAGCCGCTGAGAGCTAGCATGGTGGCTGCTTGTCTTCAGCAAGTTTTGGGGATGGGGAAGAAGAGGCAGCTTGGGAAAGACATGCCTAATGGTTCTGCTTTTCTACATAGCCTTCTTTATGGAAAGAAAATCCTGGTGGTTGATGACAATAAGGTAAACCGGAGGGTAGCTGCAGGTGCACTTAAAAAGTTTGGAGCTGATGTGAAGTGTGCTGAAAGTGGCAAAGCCGCTCTTGAAATGCTTCAATTGCCTCATAATTTTGATGCTTGCTTCATGGACATTCAAATGCCAGAAATGGACGGGTATGCATGCTTGCATTGACTACTATTGCTTCTTTTCCTGCTATTGTGTTATTTTTATAATAATCTAGATGAGCACTTGAGCTGAACTAATCAGGTATAACTGGTTGCAGTATAAAATTTAACACGATAGCTGCCTAATTGTATTTTTCATTTCATTTATAATACAATCTTTTTCTATAAAAGAATGTTATGTGCCAATGCGTGTTCTTAGACACAGGTTAAGGAATAAAAAGTTGCATCATCAAATCATTCTAATCCCTGAAAGCAAAATTACTAAATGCATTTTAGATGTTCAAGGTATTAAATGCTTATTTTAGTTTTTTGTTTTTGATTCATTAACATGGGTCCTAACAGTACATGTTTTCAAAGCCCTAAAAAGTATCATTAGAAATATGTCTCTTCCAATAACCAATTGAAATGCACTATTGTGACAAGATGTGTTCTATAACAAGATTTGGCTTGAGGATTGTTTATTGAACCATTAATCAAGGAAGAATTATCAATGATGGATCTTGTTAAAAGGTCTAAAATGGCTTGTTATTTTTTTCCATAGACAACTTAATTTTTTTTGTACAACACAGCTTCGATTTCTTGATTAATCATGATCACAGAATTTAGATACCTTAAAATCGATTTACAAAAAAAAAAAAAAATAAATAAAAAAATAGAGGGAAGATGTGAAAGATGCTGATCTCACAGCCATTCTACATGGTTCTTCTCTTCCAAGTTCCAACCATAAGACATAAACCAAGCTGGCAAGATGTGAATGTTCGTATGTGTGGATTTTTATATTTATAATCCATGTCATCATAGATTTTATCATGTACTTGGGACAAATTTATTTTATTCTCCATGGTGGTAGGTAATGGTTTCAATAGTTTTTTATTTTTCCTACATCTTCAATAATTTGCTTGATATTATTATGTTGATGTAATCTCAAATTTCTTTGTATCTTGGTTTGTACAAATTTATTAATAATCCTCAATGCTAAGAAAATTGAGATATGCATGGACTTTTGGATACCACCTAAATAAGTGTGACACATTTTGCAGATTTGAAGCCACTAGTCTAATTCGGATGATGGAGAGGAAGGCAAATGAGGAAATGAACAATGGCAGCAAGTGGCATGTGCCTATACTGGCCATGACAGCCGATGTGATCCATGCTACATATGATGAGTGCTTGAAATGTGGCATGGATGGATATGTCTCGAAGCCATTTGAGGAAAAGAATCTGTATCAAGAAGTAGCAAAGTTTTTCAAATCCAAGCCCATCTCAGACTCATGACAATGTGCTTCTTTTGCATGCACTCAACTAGAAGATTATTGGAGAAAAGACACTTTAGTTTGATCACTACGAGCACTATCATGTTGCATGTAGATTGTGCTTTCATGCATAGAGCAACACTTGGTTTTCCTACATATTTGAGTTGAGTTCATTGATTAGGGATCATTATTATTACTAACCACCTTCAATTTGGCATTATTAGAATCTGAGTAAATGTATACCACGTTACACCCCTCCAATTGTGTACAGATTCTGGGTAGGGGATGAGTGAATTTATGTAAATTCAATATGGTTTTTCCCCCATTATAATTTCATAGCAATAGTTTTTCATGTAAAGGTGTCTTGTAACAGATTGGTCACTATGTTAAAAATGTGTGCTTAGGTGTAGCTATAGCTGCCTATTAGAATCGTTCGTCCCCTTTATCAAATTGAACTAATCATTTATTTGCTTGTAGTTAATTACAAAATCTTCAATTTTTTCATGTAACTAAGTTCATGTTAACCATTTTATGTAGGTGAAGGTGAAGCAACTTCGTATAAATATCTAAGTAAAACTCAAATTAATCATTTATTTGCTTGTAGTAAATTTGTTAAAAATATTAATGTATAAATACCTTAAATATTATTTGAAAAGGAGATTTATGCTTAGTTAATAGGAGGTGCATATTCAAGTCATTATTGTGAATAATCATGTTTAAATGAAAAGGACTGGGATATATGTCTGTTTACGTGACGATATGTTATAAGAAAATGATTAATTTGAGTTTTATTTAGGTTTCTCCTCTTTGGGGATATTATAGTGCGTAATGAGCAAACAACAGATGCTGTTAGGTACATTTATCTCTGTTTTCTCTTCGCGTTACACAATTCCATGACAGCGTCGTTGGAGACATTCTGCTCCAAATGCACCTCTTTCAGGGATATCCTGCCTAATTTTAAATTCTAAATTCTGCCTAATTTACCTAATTATCTTTGTTGGTTTTATAAAATGAGAGGGAAGAATTTTAAATAAATTTAATAATTACTTATGTCATAATTTCTAATAGTAAATTAAATAAAGGTACCTACTTACGGTAGTTGAATCATAATTTCATTTTTTTTTCAATACATACATTTTAAATATATTCTCCAAATAAAAACAATTGTATTAAAAAGCACTTTTGTTCTAGTCCGGATGCAAGTATGTGTTGCTATTTCAAGTCTTCAAAGTAAGGTCCTCTTTTTCTAGTGCCAAACCTTTAAACTCTTATTTTTTAAGAAGAAATTTAAAATTAAATGTTGATTTTAGAAAAATATATATGTTTTTTTCACATAATAATGGGACCCGAAGCCCAATTCAAAGCAGACTTTGCACTCTCAAAGTTGGGTGTCAAATAGATGAATACTACCTAACATCACATTGATTCTTCACATTCGGACATCCCCTTTTAGTAACATATCATTGACATAAAAATGTGAACACAAATGGGGGAAGCAAAGAAGAAAAGTGCAAATTTTTGGTAAAATTTCATTACATGGAAATAAACATGTTTGATTCCACTATATCTCTATAAGACCATTTTTATATTATTCCTCAAACTCACAAAACATGTATTATTCAAACAATTAAATAGGGTCGATGGCATGACTGAAGAACCTTCTCCCCCTTTTATGAACCTTTGACTTTGTTAACTTTCCCTCCACAGCGCAGAGAATTTTTTGTCTTTAAATACGTACATATTCACTTTTGCAGATTTCAATTGATTGCAAACAAGTTGTGCCTTGTGTGAGGGCTGTTCCATTTTCTTACCTAAGCGATCAACAAATAAAACTTGATCAATTTCAATTTGCCTGCATTCCAAGAGTGTGATTATTTTGTCTTTGCTCCATCATGTTTCTTCGTTGGTGCTGCTTTGCATGCTTATTTCTCATGGTAGGTTTGAGAGTAGAGGTAGCTAATGCTCAGTTATATAGAAAAATTGGAGAGAAACTCCTCCCTTACTGGACCATAGTGGTGGATCCATCAGGGCATGGAAACTTCTCTACCATACAAGCTGCCATTGATTCAGTCCCTTCTAACAATAGGTATTGGGTTTCCATCAAGGTGAAGGCAGGCACCTACAGGTACAACATAAATGTTCTTCTACATTTAGGTTATAAAACTAAAACTAAAATGCCATTGTCAACCTTAGTTTGTTTAATGAAAATTGGCAGTTTATATAAACATATACAACACTAATATATGATAGCTCCCACTAATAAATAATTATGTTGGTTTAAAAGATTAATACATTGTATCAGTATATCATATTATTAATATAATTAATGTATCATATTAATAATATACAAAGTTAAATACGTTTTTGTCACTCAAAATTTATTGAATTTTAATTTTGTTTCATATATATTTTTAGTCCATATATTCTTAAAAATAATTATTTTTTCTTCCATCACTACAAAATGATGATATAACAGTATGAAAATACTGATATATCTCAATTTTAGTATTACTTATCATCTTTTTGTGAAGTCACGTTACCAAGAAAGACTAAGATTAATACTTTTAAAATGTAGAGACTACAGCAGAAAAGTAAAATAACTTTAAACGGATCAAATTCAAAATTTAATTAGTATATTTTTAAAAATCATAATCATAGTTAAACATGGTATGCTCCTATATTTTAATAGTGTTTATGCAAAGGTTATACCAAAAGAAATAGTGCTGATGTTTACCATTTTGTCATTAGTAATAAATGATTTTTTTAAAAATAATACATTTGTATTTGTGTTTATTTCAGAGAAAAAGTGAAGATTCCTAATGATAAGCCTAACATCATACTAAAAGGAGAGGGAAAGAGGAAAACTTTTGTTGAGTGGGATGATCATGACACTACCTCACAGAGTCCTACGTTCGCAGCCATGGCTGACAATACTGTTGTCAAATCCATGAGCTTTAGGGTGAGAACGTTCTACCCATACAAATTGCCTCTTCTTTTTATTTATTTATCGATCAAATTGGGCTAAAAAGTAGAATTATTTGACAAAGATATTGGGGTTTAGTTGTTTGGGGGAGTTCGTTCGAAACCCAACGTTGATTTCTATCTAACTTTTTGCTACCGTTGAATATTTTTCAGTGTAAGAGTTTATTTTATTTCTCACAAAGAATAGGTCTCCATTAATTTGATTCGTTTAATATTGGTCTATTATTTGATTTCAGAAGTTGTAGAATCCTTGGCTGCATGCACATAATAATTATAGGTTAGACTTAACATGTATACCAAATGGCCTTTAATTAATTTTCTTTGAAGAAACTCAAAAATAAGACTTCAGTTGTAATATGTATTCAATATAATTATTTTATATTGTCATTTAATTATTAATTGTTATATAATAAAATATTATTAATTTTTATAATAGTTGCTTTTAAGAGTTGTATAGGAGGTGTGGTTTTTAATTTATTAATAATATAAAAAATTTATATTGACATACATAAAAGCTAAACTAATAAATAAATATCACCTCTACATTTTATCCTGAATTGTGGAACAAAATTTGTGTTTAATTAACATATTTTGTGTCCCAATTTATTAATAAAAAGAATATAAGTAATACTGGTACGTAATACTCTTTTTAATACATACTTTATTATTAACTAAAATTTATTAATAATTAGTAAAAATAAGAAAGAGTAAAACTTACGTAATTTTATTCAATAATAAAATATATATTAAAAAGTGTGTATAAAAGAAATGTGTTATTAGCATTATTTAAAGATTACTGAGTTGTATCATAGTTCTTAGATTAGTTTATGTGGAACAGAACTCATACAACAATCCAATAAACAATAAACCGAAGGTACCTGCCGTAGCTGCGATGATAAGCGGCGACAAATCTTATTTTTATAGAGTTGGCTTCTTTGGTTTGCAAGACACTTTGTGGGACGACGCAGGAAGACATTACTACAAGCTTTGTACCATTCAAGGGGCTATTGATTTTATCTTTGGTGCAGCCCAGTCTTTATTTGAGGTAATAAATTAAATAAGAATCTGTTCATTTCAGTTTTTAGGATTGAATTCAAATATATACATATAAAAGTAGTAAATTGTTGCTCAAAAATGATCATTACATTAAAGATACAAAAATATTATAAAATCTTATTTGAACGAATAATAAAATTTTGGCAGAGGTGTTCCATATCTGTCATTGGTGCAGCTCTAGATCCTGGGCTTCCAGGTTTTATTACAGCGCAAGGGAGAACAAATCCAAATGATGCAAATGGGTTTGTTTTCAAAGACTGTCATGTGTTTGGAAATGGCACAACTTACTTGGGAAGGCCTTGGAGAAGTTACGCTAAAGTTTTGTTCTACAACACCAGCATGTCCAACGTTGTACAACCTTCTGGGTGGGACGCATGGCATTTCGTTGGACACGAGTATGTTCCCTCTCTATAATTCCATGCATCGATCCCTTGTCTCTCTATATGCTAATGCAGTAGATGAATTTTACAAAACTTTCAGGAATCGCATAACATTTGTGGAGTATGGGAATTTTGGAGCTGGTTCTAACACTTCCAAGCGAGTGAGTTGGACTAAGAAGTTGGGTTTAAAAGCAATTCAGAAGATGTCAAGTATGAACTTCATTGACACTGAAGGATGGCTTCAGAACCAACAGTTCTAATTTTCAAAGGTGATGTTGGGATGGATGTGCATCATCTCATAAGGGAATCTAATTGTCCAAAGATGTATTATTACTTGTTGCCAAACAACTAATATATATATATATATGCTGTAGACTAGCTTGTTCCAATTACACTTTGGTACATAAGAGCAACTTTATTCATGATATATTTTTTATATTATTTTTTTATTTATCAATTTCACATAAGGTTTATTTTTAATATACAGTTTTACTCTAAAGATTAGCTTTAGAGTGTTTATGTCAAACTTTCATTTGCTTATTATCCCTCCAATTTAACAAATTTTACCCTTCCTATTTACACGGTTACTAGAGAAATTGGTATTTTTTTTATACAAAAGTCATTTAAGAGATCAGTAATAGACATTTAAAAATAAGAAAAATGAAAAGTAAATTTCTCTAAGCAAAAGAAGGGAGAGAATTCCAAATTCTAAAGCACTCATGCATATGGTTAGGATATGTTTAGCTAAACAATCAACTACTGTATTTGGTTTCCTTGAGATAACATCTACCACAACTCAAAATAAGTGCTCAATTGAAATCAAATCAAAAGTGATATCTATTCTACTAAATTACAAGATACATCAATCAAATTTGTACCATTAACAATTCTTAATTGTAACAGACTAATTCAAACGAATTAATATTTGACAACCTAATCAAACCATGATAGTTAATGTAATTTCAATGAAAAGTAACGTTGGGTTTAAATTTTACCTAACCTTCCTCTTATGAATGTTTCAAAATACACAAATACATATTCACTCTCATATCAATGTTAATATAATAATATAGATATTTTTAGCTTAATCTTTTAGCACTAAGATTTTAAATTACTACAACAAACATCAATCTATTGTATATTTATAAAAATTTCTCGTATTAATTATCGTGTTAATTGCAACTAATAAAACAATGTCATATTTCTAGTAACATGCTTCATTAACAGACTCATTTCAAATTTTAATCTAGAGAGTATTTTTCAATCAAATCTTAAGTTATAAATCAAGTTTCGCGTGATCAAAATGTAACATACATTAAGAACGGGAAATAATCATTAACATTGATAAGAAAGAAAAATATTAACAAATGTATTTCAAAATAAACATGAAAATAATTTAACTATATTCAATCTCAATTAAAAGGAAATTAACTACTTATTATCATGAGAGCAACCTCAATACACCAAAAAAAAAAAAAAAAAGAAACTCATGAGATTCTTCACTTCGAGCTCCAAAGATAATGGAAGAATATATTCTTCTTAACCCTTTTAAAGATATGGTTTAGAATTAGAAGTTGATTGTTAGTAGATTAAGAAAATAAAATAATATTTGTGAAAAATAAAATAAAAATGATAAAAATTAAATGTAGTAGAATTAATAATTTGTTATTAAAAAATATTAAATTGGTTGAATTTGAAAAATTAATAAAAAAACATATTTTGTTATATAATTAAGAATTAGAAATTTTTTAAGGTAAAATAGTTATTATAATTTGATGAAATAAAAATTAATATTATAATAAAGATATAATATAATAATCACAAAGTTGTCATAAATTTTTTTAATAGATTAATTAGAAAAAAATGAAATAAAGAAAATTTAAAAATCCTTATTATTAATTAAGAGTTGTTAAATTTGAAAACAAAACTAGTCATCATAACTTTTATAAATTAAAATAATAAATTAGAAATATAATAATAGATTAAGTGTAATAAAGTAAGTATTTTTAAAAGTAGAGTAATAAAAATATGAAATATATATATATATATATATATATATTGTAATTGTAAAATTTAGTTATAAAAAGATAATTTTGATAATTTGAAACGTAATAAGGTATTTCGTTATGCATCGATAAATTATGAAATTTGATTGTTTTGTTTGGATAAAAAAACTATAACTAAAGTGTAGATAATTGTATTTAAAAAATTTAAAAAATAAGTATTAGTATTTAAAAACTGATGCAAAAAATCGACACGACACTTGGGACACGTAAACTGTTTTAACCTAAATATGCTCTATAAATACTTCATTTCAGTGAGATGCTCTCAAATTTGCCTTAAATCGGCCAAAAAAAAACCCTATGCTCTCTGTTCTCAAGATTCTACCTTCTCCTCTTTCTTATGCAAAGCTTCACGGTCGCTCCTCCGTTTGTTTACAATGTTGACGATGTTGTTACCTCATTCAGTCGCATGCTCTGTGCGACCTTCCCCGCCCATCGTTGAATTTAGTAAGGTTTTGGAGTCCCTGCTTAAGATTAAGCACTTCCGCGCTGCTATATCCCTTTTCCAACGACTGGGATTTAAGGTAATTCTGTCAAACCTTTTATTTTCTCAAAACTTAGTCAATTGTTGCTGCCCACTGTGCACGTGACCTTAGTTTTTAGTTTTTTCTTTATTGGCCAGCATTTACAGATTCGATTGGGTTATCAGCTGGCTACCATAACTCTCGTTTCACATGGTCTTTGTCTTAATGGTGATATTATAAAAAGCACTGCATTTTCATGACAAATGGTAGCACAAAGATTTCAGATGAACTATCATTCTCAACCAGAGCTGAAATAGTCTAATTTTGGGCCACGTGAAGGAGGTAGTTCATTTGTTTAAAGAAATTCTGCAAACTGTATGTCTTTTGCCTCATGACAAAGTGTGGTGCATTTTCATTACAAATTTTTTATATTTTTATTTAGCATGAATATTTATTTTTTAGATATAATATTTAATAGATTATGCAAAATTAAAAAATTTTAAAAACTACTTGTGTTTGGAAGTTTATAGTTAAATTGATTTATATAATTATTTTTAACTACTTAATGAGGTTTTTTAGAAATTATTAGATAAAAAGTTCAATTGCATTATTCAATAAAATAGATAAGGTGTATAGACCATCCAAATGCTGTCATGATGTTTATTCATATGATGGTGCATTCTGTATGGAAGAGACTTATGTATCTTGGGCTGGCTTGATGAAGTCTTGGCCTTGAAGTCAGACATTGGATTGGATGCTTTTTAGAGCTGTAATTTTTGAAATTTTCCTAGTTGTGCTCTTTTCAAAAGAAATGAGAATGACACGGAGAAACTTTTGTATTAACAGTGATGCGTCGTGTGCTTTGGTTTACTTTTGTATTAACAATTATGATTGGTTTTATATAAGTTTGTTATTAATATTAATAGATTGTATAAGTATAATCACCTAATGAAGTAAATACGTTCATTGGTCTGAGTTTCGTGATTTGGTATCACTTAGTTTTTTTATGTAGGTAAAAAGTTAGTTTAAGTGATGAACTACTCAGTTTTGCTTAAACAAGTCTAAGATTCACTTTCAAGTTTTTATGTATGTAAAAAATGTAAAAAAAATTTAGTGATATATTTACTCACTACATTCGGATTAATTCAGATTAAATAGAATGAAAAATAAAAAAATTAAATATTGTAAATAGATTATACTAATTAGAAAAGTTGGCCATAACTTTTAGATGGTTTATAATTTTTCAAAATCTACTCTAAAATTTTTATCAATGAAAGATGAAAACACAACGATTAATATATCCAGTTTACAATATTAATTATGCATTTTATTTTGGTCTTGGCGGCCCCTAATTTATTGAGACAAACACAGCGCTCGAAGAGAATCAGCAAAGCACTCGACAAAGTGCTTGATGAAACCTCAACCAGCTCCTACAGCACAAGGGAACCTCTAAGGATTTTATTGACAAGTTGCTTTTCTTAAAGGACCAACCAATTCATCCCCACGAGGAGCATGCACGTATAATAATGTAATTGAATGGGCAATTTCAGAACTTGTGCGGCACCCAAGGGTGATGGTAAATCTTCAAAACGAGCTAAAACATGTAGTTCGAGTAAGCATGGTGGAGGAGATTGATTTGTCAAAATTAAGTTATTTGGATATGGTTGTGAAGGAGACCCCAAGGTTACACCCTGTTGTACCATTACTAGCCCCTCATGAACCAACGGGATATATAGTGATTGAAGGTTCTTACCTTAAAAAAGAAGTCTCGAATTATAATAAATGCATGGGCTATAGGGCGTGATACTAAGGTATGGTCACAGTGCTGAGGTGTTTTATTCAGAAAGATTTATCAATAGCAACAGATTTCAAGGGACATGAATTTCAACTTAGACCTTTTGGGTCTGGTCGTAGTTGTCCCGGAATGTTAATGGGTTGACCATAGTAAAATTTGTTTTAGCTCAATTGGTGCATTGTTTCAACTGGAAGCTACCTTATGGCATGGATCCTCATGAATTGGATATGAGTGGGAAATCTGGGCTATCAACACCAAGAGCAAGGCATTTGCTTGTGATTCCAACTTCATGAAACCCTGATGATGAATTAGTTTAATTTAGATGTTTAATATCATAAGAGAAAGAAATTAAAGTGTATGATAGTTTTAATAATTGGCACTGAATACTAGTTATTGTACTTTGTACTGTATTTTAGCTTGGAATTTAAAAAGGAAATATTTTCTATTTTTATGTTATGTTTTTACTTTTATTTATAAAAATATTTTTTTTTTCTTTTGTTCTTATTTTTAAGGATTTGTAGAAAAAATAATTTTTTTTCACTACTTTTATAGCAATGTTTGAAAACAATAAAAGAGAAGGTAGATTTTTTTAATTTAAAATAATATAAAAAAATATTTTCTGAAATTAAATGACCCTATATATTTCTTCCTTTATAATTTTCAAAATAGGTTTTAAGAATTGAAAATAAATTCACCTCAATTAATTCATCATCTTCTCCATAATTCTTATTCTAACTTCCTCTTGATCAATTCACCTCATAAGTAATTCTTTTTCTTCTTCTTGATAATAATTCTTTAGCTTTTGGTAATTCAAAGTGAAGAAGCTTGTTAATGCTAAAAAAGATAGCTTTTTGATTCAGAACAACCGGGGTTGGTTCAGCCAAGCTTGTGTATAACTTGAGCTTGAGTTTTGAAGTTTTTGAAAATTTGACTTATGTATGTTTGTCTCAATTGCATTTAATCAAGAAAAGTTTTATTTTCAAAGAAGACTATCACTGCATGGTTGAAACTTAAGGTAGCTCTTCCTTGAATTATATTTTCTTGATGGTTTAGGTATTTGTTCCACTTGTTTTAGGGTGATTCTAAAATCCTCTTCTTTTTTTTTTTTAAATAAGGTAAAAATAACTTTTGAAAAAGTTATTAAATACTGTTGATCTGTGATTTTAATTGAATAATTAAAATTGTATTACAGGAAATCGATTATTTAAGTTAGATTTATAAAAGAATATATGGGTAATTTCATATTTTTTTCTTTATCAGTTTGTGACAATTACAAGTCCAAAGTTCATATTCTTCATAGTCGTTAATATATAATTTGTTGGATAATACTTAATACAATTATTACAAAATATACAGATTCTGAAATCAGTAATGCAATGATTTTTTTTTTCTTCTTCTTTCATTCTGATCTTGTAAAGGATTTTTAAATGGCAAAACCTTTACCCAAAAAATTATAATACTAAAAAATTTAGAAAATATTGAAATTTTAAAATCTTATTTATGTTCTTCCTTCATCATCATCCTCTTTTTCTTCTTCTCTTACTTTCATCTTATTAACACCATCAAAGATTCATAAATGACAAAATTTTAATACAGTAAAAATTTAAACTAATAAAATGACATGTTTCTTCCACTTTCTATGGGTATCAAGTCGCTGATATGTTTATTAACATAGTGGAACAACAGAGAAGCAAACAATCAAAGCTTATATGCACCTTGGTATACAACATTAAAAACAATGATATTAAAATTTTTTTGCTACTTTATTATATGGGTTCTCTGTGGAGAACTGATGTAGAAGTAGCTACGTAAAAAAAAACTTTTTACATCTGTTTTTTCCAGAGAACCAAAATAGAAAGTTGTGTGTTTTTTTTTATAAACAAATTACGACATCAGTTTTATGAGAAAACCAATGTTAAAGTAATTGTGTGAAAATTCTACATCAATTCTCTCCAGAGAACCCATGTAGAAAGTTATAAAGTTGTATTTTCTTTAAAAAAAAAATACGTTCTACATCAGTTTTATAAGAACCGATATTGAAATAGTTGATAAAAAAAATAAATTTCAACATCAGTTCTCTCTAGGAAACCAATGTAAAAAGTTGCAACCTTTTAATAAAAATTATATCTACATCTAGTGATGGTAATGACTAATGTAGAAGTTTGAAAAATAAGAAAGTATAGATTTAGTAGCAGTTGGTCACAAAGTTGATGTAAATAGTGTTGGGTGTTTATTTGAAAATTTTTGAATGTGAAGTGGAATGACCTGGTGGAAAGCGCGAAACAAGCACTGCAGGAAGCGATTATCTTATCTGTGAAGTTTTGATTGTTCAGTTAAACAATTAAAGGAGTGTTAGTTTTGTTTCTGTTGAATGTTTTTCATTATGTTTTCTCAAATTTTATTTTTTTTCAACCATGTTTCATGTTCTTCCAACCATGTCTCATTGGAACTCAGATTGATAGGGATGCATGTAATTCAGAGAAAATTATGAAGAAAGTCACAAAGGAGAAATTTCACCTTAGTTAATTTTATCCAACAAATTTCAAAGTTTAGATAAAAAAAATCCTGGAATGAAGGAGATTGAAAGGAAATGAGAAAGATGAAAATGGAGGAGTTGTCTTAGAGATGAAGAAAAAATAGATAAAGGAGAAGTAGTAATTTACTCTTCATTAATATTTTATTACCCAATGTTGTTATCTGTTCCTCTTGATTTTTCACTACTCAATCTTAGTTATTCATTTTATATCTACAAATATCAACAGCTCAAAGTTAATTCCACTTTATTTATTGAAAAACATTGTATTTACTTTTTACAAATAAAGGAAGGATGTTAGAATCACCCCTTGTTTTACTATTACAAAATGAAAATAAATGTACTGTAATGTTGCACTTAATCTATGGTAAAAAAAGGTATTATTAAATATTAACGACGGTTAAATTGAACTGCATACAAAATTAACCTGTGTATCTTCAGCAATTGCCACTGCTGCCATCTCTAGTGACTGCCACTGCCACTGCTCTGACAAGTCTGTTTTCCAATAAGTGAACTTTTTTTGTTTTTCTTTTCTTGATGCTTGCTACATGCCTATAAACTTGAATGAGCATCTTAGATCTACGGTTATGATTGTTCTAATATTTTAAAAATTAAAAGATATTTATGTGTTTTTAAAATGGATCGAACTCCCACTATCTATTATATATATTTAATATAATATTAAAGGTTATAATTATTCCAAAGGGCATAAAAATGTCCTTTTAATCTTCAAGGCACCGTAGAAATGACCTTTTTTCTTTATTATTTTCCTCCCCTATTTCATTTCTCCCTTATTTTTTTCTTTCTCTTCTCCGTGACTTAGTTTTCAGTTTCCCTTTTTTTTTCCTTTTTCCCGTCCTGTTCTATTCCTTTTTTTTTTTTTTTCCATTCTGTTTTTCCCTCTCCCATTCAGTGTCACTCCCCCATTTTTTTCATTTTTCCTTATTATTCTGTTTTTCTTGATTCCATTTTTATGTTTTCACTTCCAAGTTTTCTTCCGTCTGTTTTACTGTCATTTTATTCTTTATTTTTTTCTCAAAACCTTTCTTCTTTCTTTGATATGTAGCTAGTTTTTTTTTTATATCACATTCTGCAGTATATTTTTATATACTTTTGTAGATATAATTTCTATATATTATATTATTTTATTATGACCGTCATGCTTTCACATAATCTGCATGGAATTTGCCGTAATTTTATGGCAGGTTTTTGGCTGTCCGCCTTTATTATGTCCTGTCATACATTGTCAAGGTTCTTAAGTAGAATGTCAAGAACCAGTAAATCAAAATGAAACCAACTGAATTAAGAAAAAAGAAGAATGTATCGTAGATGCGTGAATTATGCAATACACAGAGCTTAGCTCCTATTCCATTACTTACAGAAAAATTAAGAAACCAACTTCTCCCACTACCCATCTCTATAAAAAGAAAATCCATGTGGTATAGCTATTTCCTATTGGACTGGCTTCACTAACTCTTGGAGCTTTACATTACCTCCCTCTTCAACTTATGCATTGTCCTCAAGGCTAACATCTAGAAACTGATTTGTAATGATGAATGCCTTTTCCCAAGAAGATTCTTCAACAGGTTTTCTTCGCCACTTAATCAATCAATAAGGGACAACAGTCCCTTTTTCTTCTTTCGTTGGACTGCTAAAATCTGCTCCGGGAGTAACTGCTCAGCCATTGCCACTGCAAAACCAGCAGGTAAGTCAGCAGCTTCATGGTAATTTCCAAATGCATTTTTGAGTAGGAAATATGAAAGACGGGATGCATTTTAGACTTGCAAGAAGTTTCATGATAAGAATTGTGCTCCATCCTCTAAATGGGGAAAGGTCTACCAGTGTAGATCCAAGACCATTAGGCTTTAATGTGTGAGGGGAGAATTATTTTGTAATAGAATCAGGAGTTAGAGACAGATGGGAAAATTTATAATAAGTTAGTTAGTTAGGAAGGGAAGGAACGTGCAAGCTAATTATGTTATATTGAGTGCTGCTTGTATGGAAAGGGTATCTTGGAATCTGAATCGATATGTTGGGGCAGAGAGTTTCTCTCTTGCTGGGGGAGCATTGCTCGCAGAATTCCTTCATTCTTTACCCTTTTCTATTATTTTTTCTTGGTATATTCTTGCTTTGTATGTACCTTTAATATGTATACATATCATTGGTGTTTTCGTTGAGTGACACACCCTTGTTCCCTTATGAGCACATGTATTGATGACACAGAGACTTGATCAAGTTGAGGCCGAACTTGCGGCCATCCGCGAAGCTCTTTCCTCCTATGAGTCCATCACGGACTGATACAGGTACAGTACAACCAATTTATTGATTGCATCATAGACTTGTAGCCTGTTTGGTTCTACATAATTTTAGTTTTAACCCATGTATTTTAATGCTATGCACAGTAGCTTTTGCATTGTAGATGCACATTGATAATATATTCACAGTGTATTCAAACAGACACACTGCTAAAACTAATGTTATTCATATTCAACCGTAAGAAACATTTGGGGGCACCACAACCATGGAGCTCACTAGAAACATCAAAATTGTAAACAAAATTTCCCCCCTTATAACATGCTAAATGAATCCTACAATCCACATATAATTTCAAGGTAACGAGAAACAATAGACTAAACATTCCCAAAAAAACAATTCTCTGATACATGAGATTTCAGTTAAGTCCAAATATTAATTTAATAAATAAGTGGCAAAAAAAAAAAAAGGATCAATATCATAGTATTCAGTAGTGTCAAGTAGTTACACAAATATGAGATAACTATGAAGACAATGTTCAAGATCCTGGAACATTTTAACATAACATAATATATAATTGTAACAAAATCAACTTAAAAGTTCCATTGAACTAGAAGCATTAATTAAAGCATTATTAGGATTAAGAAACATAGATTTCAACCTAAAAAAAAATTAAAAAAAAACTTGCGTTGTGAAAATAGCATACCACAGGAACATCAGAAGCAAAGGTTGCAGCCATCTCCAAAATTTGAATTCCTTTTATTCTGTAGAAAAACAAAATACATGAGATTTCAAGTGAACGAAGAAAAAGAAAAGTACCTAGAAACAAAAAGTGCTTCGCGAATAAGCTACAACACAACACAATGTTGTTGCCCAGAAGTAGGAACTGGGTAATGGAAACAATCACAGCGCGGAAATTAGTTTTAATTTAAAGATTAAAAAAAAAAAAACTGTTAAGAAATTTTAATAATTTCATGGCAGCTAACAAATATCTTTCAATAGCATTTGATACTTCTAGCTATAAAGTCCGCTATCTATACTTTTTGGTAAGAAAATGTATCCATGAACTTTCATTCAACCCAATTAATCCAACATCTATCTCAAATCAATCCATGGCTATAGAAATAAGAAAAAATATCACTTTAATACAATAAAGATAATAATTCAAGAGGAACTACTCATAAAAATCTGAAAACAAAAACTAGAAAGAAGACAAGATCAGACAAAGTTACAAACATCATTAACTTGGTCCAGATTGGGGGGAAATTTGGTGCTTCAAGAACACAATCTTAAAAGAATATGCAAGATAAATGTTTCAAACATACAATAAGTTCACAGTCCTTGCACAGCTGCATGTAAAAAAAAGAAAAAATGCTGGTTGTTATATATTATTTTGCATTTTCTAGAAGTTACCTATGCTCAAAAATATTAAAATTCTTTCATTAACACTTTTAGTCTCTTGTTAGATATTATAAAAAAGTTTTAAAATATGCAAAGAATCTAAGAATTCTATTAAAAATTTTACTGCTACTCTGTTGAAGGCATTGCAAAAAGAAACTGAGTGGAAAAAGTACCAGTGGAACATCACATCTAAGAAACCATTTAATTATGTGCCAGAGACTAACCATGTCATAGCACAGTACATTTCTGCAAGAGACGAGAAAGGAAGGGACTCTAGCAATTGCAAATTTCAATTTAGATCAAGATTCAAACAAAGATGAAACTCTTAGTCATGTGAATATTAAATTTGAGCAGACGCAGTAGAGAGATGAATCTGTCAACACTGGAACTTGTAACTTTGATCAGAGAGAGAGAGTCAATTTGATCTTGCTTGCATGATTATTCTACAGTGAATAATATTAGTTGGCTATGGTTGAGCATGTTGGTTTCTGAGCTTTTGTAAAAAATCTACAGCCACTGTTTGAGCTTGTGACGTTGAATAGGGTTGAGGCTGATTGTATTGAGATTTATGCGAGAGAGAGAGAGAGAGAGAGAAAATATGCCTGGGAAAATCATATTGCTGAAGTGTGGACTGCTGTGGGTGACAATGAGTATTTGTGTTAAACATAAAATTAAATAGATGAATCATGTAAGTTAAGAAGGATATTAAATTTTATAAGGATTGATCCTTCTCATAACAAAGACATGCTTTATAAACTATCATGACTAGTCTAATGGATTGATATTGAACATAAATTGTGTGAATTAGGTCTGAATGTGGGATGATTTCTTTCTTGGATTCCCTATTCCAACCCCACATAATCTGAGTGTCACTACACGTCATTAGGTCTGAATGTGGAATGATTTCTTTCTTGGATTCCCTATTCCAAACCCACCTAATCTGAGTGTCACTACACGTCATTAGGTCTGAATGTTCAATATATTTTTCACATACACTGCTTGATGAAAATGTGAACTGAACAGAATTTTTTTCAAGGGTGAATGCCAAGAATACTTCAAGTCCACACACACGCAAATATGCATTTGTGATTTTTAAAATAACAGAGCATACATCAGAGCATATCATAAACAAGACACAGAGTGCTAATTACACAACTAATAAACAACTATTTACTCAGAAACAAACATGGTATTACATCAAGATGAAAGATCAAGGGAAGTTTGTTACCAAAAACTGAAAAGTGAACCTCACACTGTTCTCACTTCTCAGGAAACTTGAACTTGTTCTAGACCTGATTTGTGCATATCAAAAACCCAATAATAAAAAACAAAACATATCATATTAGATTCAACTAAACAGTGTTTAGAATTTATCCGCAATTACGAAATAAGCATCCTATATTCATGCTAATGGTCAAAGAAATGAGATTGCCAGAGCTCAAACCTTCAAGCTCAGTTGATGTACTCCAACTACTTAGATAAAATTAATTAACAGCAATGACAACCTAATGCCTGGTTTAGGATATCTCAGTAATGAAAGTATTCAATTATGTCCAATCTTTTCAAGCTTCCATAGTTGGTGACTGTCACCAATAATCACCACATGAACAAATCCCATCTTTAAAATGATGAAAACGATTTGAATCCCTCACAACAATATCTCTTTCAGTAATTTTAGATATGTACTTGGTTGCATTATGACAATCACCACAAACACGTAAGTTTTTAAATATCCTAATGGGACTTTTTGGTGGGGTGCTGATAATTCCAAATGCAATGGCCAGTCTCTCGCTATGACTTGTCAAGATCTGCTCTTTCTCATCCTCCTCAACATCTTGTAAGACAAAACTATAGTCTGGAACATAACCAAGGCTCTTCATCTTGGCATTCAAAACCCTTAGTTCCTCATATATCGCTGTACACTGGGGATGTGTTTGGTTTCCAGTATAAAAGACTTCAATTATACTACCCACAGCAACAGAACTCCATCCAGGAGTCTTCCTCAACCCTCTATTTCTGGCCAACGATCTTACTTTAACTACTCCTTCCCATTTTCCAACATTTGCATAGATATTTGACAACAAAACATAATAGCCAACATTCTCTGAATCAACTTCCAACAAGCGATCTGAAGACAGAGTACCCAATTCTACATTTCCATGTATTCTACAAGCAGCAAGAAGAGCACCCCAAATGGATGCATCAGCCCGTACAGGCATATTGCTCACTAAATTGTATGCCTTTTCCAAATACCCAGCTCTCCCAAACAAATCTACCATGCATCCATAATGCTTCAAACTTGGCTTGATCCCATGCTCTTTCTGCATCAGATCAAAGCATCGTTGACCCTCATCGACTAAACCTGAATGGCTACAGGCCGACAACAAAGATACAAATGTAATATCATCAGCCTTTACCCCTTCAGCCAGCATATCCTTGAAAAGTTGCAGAGCTTCCTCTCCATGCCCGTGAATCCCGAGAGAAGATATTATGGCATTCCAAGGAACTGAAGTTTCTCTTGGAATTTCATAGAATAAGGACATTGCATCCTCTAACCTTCCACATTTTCCATACATATCCATCAGGCAAGTAGCCACAAAGACATCCAAGTAGAGACAGTTCTTGATTAGCCTCCCATGAATTTTCATTCCTAGTTGCAAAGCTCCAACATGGGAATATGCTGGGAGAATGCTCACCCAAGTCCCTTGGTTGGGGATTATTGTTTTACACTCTTTCATCATGTTGTAAGCATCAATTGCTTCACTTGCAAGACCATTTTGAGCATAACCTGTGATCAAAGTGTTCCATGAAATTATATCTTTGATAGGAAGCTGTTCAAAAACTGTACGTGCATGATCCATATAACCTAATTTTGCATACATATTCACAAGTGCATTACCAATCACAACATCCTTCTCGAGCCATTCACACCTCATAACAAATCCATGAACCGATTTGCTAATCCTTTGATCACTTAATTGACCAAAAATTGAGGCCAAGCTCACAACTGTCAACAAGTCAGGTCGTATCCCAACAAATTGCATCCCTCTAAAGAATCCAAGCGCAGTAGTTGGATCATTATTCTGCTCGTATGCAGCAATTATAGAATTCCAAGATACTAGATCCCTCACTTTCATGTGATCAAAAACCCCTTGGGCATCTTGTAGCCTACCAAACTTTGAATACATATTAATCAAAGCATTGGAGACAAACACATCAGTTTCCAACCCATGCTTTATCACATACAAATGAATCAACACCCCACTAACAACATCATTGGATTGTGCACAAACAGGTAGTACACTTGACACAGTAACCGTGTCCATCTTCACCCCCTCAACTTTCATACTATTCAAAACATACAATGCCTCAGCGGCATTTCCGTTCTGACAAAACCCTGAAATCATTGCATTCCAAGAACCCACATCTCTAACCGGCATATCAGCAAACAACTTATAGGCATCATCTAAAGCACCAAACCGTGAATATAAATGGATCAACGAAGCAGCCACATATACATCATGCTCGAAACCCATCTTTAAAACCCAGCAATGTATTTTCTTCCCGTCAACTAGATGTACACAGGCTTTCAACACAGGAGGAAAAGTGTAAAAATCAGGTCTTACACCAGACATGGACAACATTTCATTGACACAATCCATAGACTCACGGTATCGACGGCAGCGAACATATGCAGCTACCATTGAGTTCCATGTATAAACATTCTTTCTCTTAATATGGTTAAAAGTAGTGCGTGACAAAGATATGTTCCCAAGAGTTGCATATAAATTAACAAGCTTTGTAAATAAAAGGACATCTTGAGCCTTATCCATCACAAGAAGAAGAGCATGAAGCTGCTTGGTAACATGAATGTTGGTGCAGAAATGGAATAGAGCATTGAAATCAGCAAGTTTGTTAATGTTTTCACAGTCATGTAATATCTGTTGTTGTAGAGAACCTGTGGTTGCCGACAAAGATCGGAGAAGACATCGTTGCAATGTCAAAACCTTGGAAATTGGGTTGATAAGAGAAAGCATAGAACACTGCTAGGAGGGTGCAAAAGCTTAGATAGATCCTGCAAAGCCAAGAAGAAACACAGAAGATATAATTATAGGAAAATACTTGGTGCCTTAGCCATGGACAATAAACGAGTAAAATTTAGATAGTTCTCTGCTACATGTTTTCTTGCAATTACTTCTAATTTGGTATCTTTTTTCTATATTTTTAACTTTTTAAAAATTTAATTTTACATAATGGTTATTGCTATATAAAAGAAAGGAGTATGTGAGAGTAAATTATTTTTCAAAAAATAGACCTTAACACCAGGGATGATTCTATATGCTCCAAGTTATTTTTAGAGATTCAATTATAAATTTTTTAATATTATATCTATGGTTAATAATTTTTCGAGTAGAGTTTGGTAGAAGCAACCCTTTAACCAACTAATCTCATATTTTTTTAATATATTTTAATAAAATTGTATTATTTATCAATTATTTCACATGACTCATACCTACATAGAATGATAGCTTATAAAGTATACAACGTTAAAACAAAAAGTATATCAACCATAGTTTCTAAGATTAAGGATGATAAAATGAGTTAGCTTGTCCTATTTTTCTATATTATATTTTAAATTTGTTCAAAAAGTGGGTTAGGTTTAACTAGTTTGTTATTTCTACATGTTTGTGATAAAAGTTTAGTAGTTTGCATAATTTTGAAATTTGATCAATTTCCGATAGTGTAGGATCTCAAAAATCAAACTCATTTTTGGGTTTATGGACTAGAAAGCCAGTAACTTTTAGTGGATGATGTGATAGGATTTGGATGAGTGATAAAAAGCCAGTGACTTGTGGTGCAAGGATCAGAATGAAGAGAAGGGAAGATGGGGTGTGGGAGCAATTAACAATTACACTCAATATAAAACCATTGTCATGAGCCAAATGTGCATCAAATGTGTATTTGATTGAACTCAATTTAACTAACCAAATTCTTGTTCAACATGATGAAATCAAAAGATAACCTCACCACAATAGCTAAAGCTACCCAATATTTTATTAGTACGTTATCTCATCTTTTTTTTCACTCAACCTACTATGTTTGGATGAGATAATTAAAAAAATTTTAAAATAATATAATTAAAAAAATTAAAAAATTATAAAAAATTTACATTACATCATTTACATTTTAAATATTTTAAAATATTTTGTTCAAAGAAAATAATTTAATTTTTTTATTTCAAATATTTTTGTTTGAATAAAGTAATTAAATTACTTACATTCTTAAAAAAATTATCACTATATTTGATAAAATTAATTAAAAAAAATATAATATAAATTATTAAATTAACTATAAACTAAAAAATATAAAATAGTGCAGAAACAAATGAAAAAATCAATTTCAAATGTTTTTTTTTTATGATTTAGAAATCTTTGATTTTACTCTATTAAAAATTTCTACTAAAATTCTAAAAAAATTTAATTCTTTAAAATTCAATATTCAAATAATAAATTTTAACCCATAGTATTATAAATTCTTTCAAAATAATAAATTACTCACTTGAAATATATCATCTCAGCACACTCTTAATGATTTAAATAGAAGTTGATTTCATTCTCCGTTTTCCGTACCATCCTCATCAAATTTGAGTGGTGTTAGGTATCATTAGGATGGTAGTTAAAATTGTAATTTTACATATAAGATCCTAGGATTTTATGATTTTCTCGTACCTTAACAATCTTGATAATTTTTTTATTATGTGAACTCATTTTTTTTTAAAAAAAAAACCAACAAATTTAACCTAGTTTTGGTTAACCCATTAAACTAAAGACTTTAACTTAATTACTTTGGCACTTTCTTCATTTTTTTTTTCTTTTATGCACAATGGTGGATGAGAGGTTATAGCAAACAACAACAAAATTGTCATAAAATTATGGTAAATGTCAAGGTAGCTTATGGAGAAGCATAATAGTCATAATAAAATTATATATAACGAAACAATGTAATATATAGAAAAATACAACATGTCAACTTTCTTGGACTATATTGAAAATGATGTCTTCTCTAGAGAAAACGGTAAAAAAGGAGAGGAGGGAGAAGTTAGCTAAAGAGAAGAAGGAGAATAATTTGCCTAATTAGGGTAAAATTTTAAAAATTACCAAAGTAAAAATTTTAAAACATTTTCCTTGTTTAGCATAAAACTTTACATGTGGTATAAGTGTTGTCTAGCTAAGTGTCGATATTTATTTTACTTTTATTTTTTAAAAATAAGTATCATCCATAAAATTGACAACACTTTAGTTGACTGACACATCTCTTACACAAAAATTGATTAAAAATATTTAAATTTATTAAAAATGCACCAACAACATAAGGTTAATGATAACATATGACAAGATTTAAAAATATCAAGTGTGTTAAATACGACTCTAGTATCTACATTGTTAGGGATGATACACACATACACACAATTCATAGATATAATCTTAAAATTTAAATATTCACAACTGATTAACTATATTTATGAATTTGAATATGCATATCGTGTGATAATCGTATAGTATGGAGTTGATAAATTCATAGCTCGCCATATACACTAAAGGTATGAATATTTCACTACTAGAAAAGCGCTGACAATAGACGGATATTGTAAACAGATTTTTTATCTGTCTATAATACAGACGAATTTGTGATTTTTTTTTAAAATTTTTTGAAAAATTCATCTGTAAATCAGTCTGTATTACAGATGAATAATATTCGTCTATAGTTTTCCCGCCATTTGGTGAGAAATAATATAGATAGGAATTACAAACGAATTTTTTTGTGTGTAATTTGAAAAAGGGAGGGCAATTTGAAGCGAGAGTTAGAGACAGATTTTTTCGTCTGTAAATATTGCCCTTTTTAACTGACTTTTCATGTGGCAATTTTTTGGAAGAAGTAAATTGATTATGATACTCTTTTGGAAGATGATCACGCCGATTATTAGTGATATATAATATTATTTTATTTTTTATATTATTTTTCTAGATGTTTACTTCTTCCTTTGTAATGAAATTTTAATTTTACATTTTATAAATAACTTTTAATTATAAATATATAATCTTGTAGTTTTTATTATGTTTATAAATTGTGATAATTAGGAACACTAAGAAATAATTATGTTTATTAAAAAATGAAACAATTTTTTTTGAAATTTCATAAATGAATTACAGACGGATTTTTCGTTTGTAATACAGATGAATTTTTCTATCTGTAATACAAGCAGATTTTTTCGTCTATAAATTACAGACATATTTTTTCGTCTGTAAATACAGATGGATTTTACGGACTGTAGTCATCTATAAATCTGTCTGTAATGCTAAAATTCATCTGTAATAGTGAAAAAAATCTGTCTATATTTTCAGGTTTTCTAGTAGTGATTTGGAGATTAGTTGTGTCACTCATGTTTTCAAATTTGTGAGTGACACCAGCCTGATTGTGTGATGCAATAATTTGGGATGATACAACATATTTCTCATGCTCCATATTAGCCTAACCAATAATATGACATTACTTGTAGAGGGAAGACTGGTGAGAATTGGTCCTCCAAGTTCAGGGGTACAGTGGAGCTTTGGAATAAAAGATTAGATTGGGTTATAAGTAATGACGCACAAATTGGTTTGTTAAGTTCAAACTCAAAATGTAAGTGGTGGTACATTACTCATACTAGACAGTGGATGAGTGGAAATGCAACTGTGTTTGCATTGCTTGTAACTAATTATTAAAATTGTACATTTAATAGTTTGTTTGATTAATTGTAATTTATGATATGTTGTTCTATTGCAAGGAAATGCTTATGAGAGGGCATATTATTTGTGTAGTGATAGTAAAGACTCATTTTCATTTGAGGAGATGAAAGAGTTATGTGAAACTATGTTATCACTGTACAATGAGTAGGAACAAATCTTGGAGCCTTCCTCGTCATTTGAGCCACTTATTCAAAGTGGACGTACAATTAATCTAAAGATTGACATTGGTCACTTGTGCAACGTAGGGAAGGAAAATGTTTACAACATTAGCAAACAGAACTTTAGATATATTATAAATCGAGTATTTATATGCCTTTTAGTAATTTTTTATATTATAACTTGTTTTTAATTGTTCATTGTAGCCACAAATTTTTCACTTCTCTCTTTGCCCGAATGCAAAGATAGTGTTTATTATGTCCCTCCATAACTCCTCTTTCACCCTGCCAAAGGCATTCATGGTTCTTATTTTCATTTATCACAATTCACTTCATAGCTTCTTGCATCTTCATTTAACGTTGATGAAAAAGATAAATTTTTTAAAATTATAAAAAATATGAAAATAATTTATTAAAATAAGATATATCATATTTATTAATATAAGATTTTATATTTCAATTTTAAAATCAAATATAAATTAAGATTGATTAAAATTATAATTATATTAAAATTCATGGTATTTAAAAATGAAAAATTTGATACATTTATTAAGATTTAAAATTTAAGTCAAATTAAAAATGAATAAATTTAGAAAATATTATTTAAAAAATGAAATTTAATTCTTAGAATATTCTATTTAAAAAAATAAAAAATGAAATATATATTAATTTTTTTAAAAAAATAAAAATAAAAATTATATATATATATATATATATATATATATATATATATATATATCATCATCATGTGTGGAACCTACCTGACTACCTGTTGACATGACCATGGTTCAAATAAAATTAATTATCTATAAAATATTATAACTTCTTTTTTTTATAATTAGTAGATATAAATTTGACGGCAGATCTCTATTGCAGAGACTGGACCACTAAAGGTTTAGGAAAGATCCAAGTCCTCATTAGATGTTGGCACTCCGGAGCCCTAGCTGAAGTGTATTAATTTTTCTCTTCTGATGTATCATTATAGTTATTAAAATGACACTAATCTAGTTAGATTGATAAGTGGTCAAGTTATTGGTTTAAAAATTAATTTATAAAATCAACAAAGTATAAAATGGATCAAATTGACAAAAGTTTTGATCAAAATCAGTTAAAATCCTATAAAAACTAGTGTAAAAATTGGTTCAAAACTGACCAAATTTTTTACTCCAGAAAAAATTTGCAATCCATGAAATGTACATAATTCATTTAAATAAATAAGTAAAAAAATATATAAACATGGGTACATGAGGCTTGACATGAATTAAATTTTAATGTAAATAAATTAAAGAAATTATTTGCACAAATATGTTGTTTATTTTTTAATAAAAGATAAGAAGATTTCTAAAATATTTAATAATTTGAAAACGTTTATAAAATGTAAAATGATCTAAATAATGATGAATCCAAGTGTTATTAGGAAGGCCAGAATGTCATAAAAGATATTATCACACAATGGCTATTTTTAGTTAGTAAGAATAAACTGAGAGGTAAAAGAGGAAAAAATTATTTACAAAGAGGAGGTAAGTGGGAATATTCCAAATAATACAAAACAAATGCCTCAATAGAACATATTTTTTTAATAATAATCTTCCCTTGATCTTCAAAATATTATTCTGATCTTATATCTCTACAATGGGAAACAATATTTGCATGATTTTTGAGAATCGCAAATTATTGAAGAACTTTCCTTGAACCATCGACCTCTCATATACTGAGGAATCTTGCTTTCTTATGTTTAACCTTTTGAGTTTTCCTAATTTTCCCTTCCCTTCATAATGCAAAATTTGTCTTTAAATACTAATTCTCATTTGCATAAGTCTTGTGAGGGACCTTCATTTTGCTATTCATCCTTTCAAGCAATCACCATATTCCTCTAATCATGTCTTTTCGTTGGTATTGTTTTACATGTCTTTTTCTTTTGGTCTGTTTAGAAGTAGAGTTAACTCATGCTCATCAACACCACCACCATCACCATAATCATCATCATCATCATCATAAGAACCACCATCATCGTCTTTTTGATAACAAATTTGGAGGTAAACTTGCCACTGACATGACAATTACCGTGGACCCATCGGGGAATGGAAACTTCTCTACAATACAATCTGCTATTGATTCAGTCCCTTCCAACAATGCGTATTGGATTACCATTTATGTGAAGGCAGGCAGATACAGGTAACATTAATATAAGCATTTTCCTCCATTATGCTGATCAATAAAAAATATACTCTATATATATTACTTGTAGGCATGGATGTCATATTTTGATACTTTCATTTTTGTCTCACTTTCCAGCAATTATTTTTCACTTTTAGTCGCATATTTAAATGGGAAAGATTTGATTTAAAGAAGAGACAATTTAATTAGTTGAAATTCAAACGTACGGATATAAATGGGTTATGACGTTTTGTATATTCAAAGGTATTAATGTTAATATATTGATACAAATAGGTTTCCTTGTTTGTTTTTTCAAAGGGAAAAGGTGACGATCCCTAATGACAAGCCATACATCACACTACAAGGAGAGGGACAAGATAACACTTTTGTTGAATGGAATGACCATGATTCAATTGCACGGAGTGCTACATTCTCAACCATGGCAAACAACGTTGTCGTTAAGCACATTAGCTTTAGGGTGAGAAATACGCTTTTGCTGTTTCCGTTTCTATATAATATTATTGCACAAATTGTTTCTTTTATTTATGTTTTTTGGCATAATTATTGTCACTCTCACTCGTAAATCTTTATTTATTGCTTCTTTTAATGTATTTATTTATCGATTATGTTAATATTTATCTTTATAACGAATTTTAAGTTTTTAAAAATATTATACTTTTAATGCAAAAATATTTTTTAATAAAAAAAGTACTTTTGCATGTTTAAAATCAGCTTTAAGTACTTATATTAATATTATTGAATTTTGAACAGAATATCTAAATTATGCCCTATGGTTTGGAGCAGAATTCATACAATAATCCAAAAAATGGTAACCCCATTGTAGCTGCCGTAGCAGCAATGGTCAGCGGCGACAAGTCATACTTCTTAAATGTTGGCTTCTATGGTCTGCAAGACACTTTATGGGATGACCAAGGAAGACATTACTACAACATTTGCACCATTGAAGGAGCTGTGGATTTTATCTTTGGTACAGGCCAATCTCTATATGAGGTAACAATGATCTTCGTTCTCGTTCATCATTATTCATATGCATGCATGGCATAAAGTGTACTTTAATTTTTTATTTTAAGAATATTATTTTTATTTAATAATAATATCCATACAGTAGTATAAAAAGGATAAATATGCCAATCCTGAAAGCACAAAAATGTGCATATCAAGGTATTGAATAAGTACTATAATAATTTTTGCAGGAGTGTACTATATCAGTCATTGGTGCAGCTCTAGCTCCAGGAGTACCTGGTTATATCACTGCACAAGGGAGAACAAATCCAAACGATGGAAATGGGTTTGTTTTCAAGAATTGCCAAGTCTCTGGAAATGGCACAACGTACCTGGGGAGACCATGGAGAAGCTACGCAAGAGTTCTTTTTTACAAGACTAGTATGTCCCAGATTGTACAACCAAGTGGTTGGGAGCCATGGAATTTCGCTGGACACGAGTAAGATCCTCTTCTAAATCTCTTTTTTTTTTCGTAACACTTTTTATTTTCTCTTTCTTTTTCTTCACTATTTTTTATTTGTACCAAATGTACAGTGTTGTAAACTATGTTACATAGATACGGATGGTATCAGTACTGGATATGGATACGGGATATAGCATTTTCTAAAATATTAAGGTACTCAGTTAAAAAATAATATATATAAATACATAAAATTATAAATAAAATAAAAATACATAAATTTTAGCATATTTATTACTTACATTTGTCAAAAGAGATGGTTACTAAATTTGACACTGTTTTATTGTTGTTGCTCGTTGCATGGAAGAACAAAAGTAATAGTATACAATCGATGGGTATGTGAAAGCTGAAAGAAGTACTGAAATGTAAAAGTTGAAAAAAAAAAAAAGATAACAAAATCAGAATTTTGAAAAAAAATAACCTAAAACTCTAAAATTTTAGTTAAAAAATTTATTTTTTATATCTAAAACGTACCAGCATATCTTCTTTCTGTACCGAACTTTTTTTTTTTAAGTATCTGAGAATGTACTTACAGCGTACCCACAACGTATCCGTACACGGCATGTATTCGGTACCGGTACTCCATGGGAAGGAAGTGCCGTACCCATGCCTGAGAGTCTAAATTGCAGTTCGTAATTGCAATTTCAGCTACAATATTAAAATTTGTGTAATCTTTGCAACTGTGCATATTGTAACCGCATTTGTCCACAATCTTTCATAATATAAGGGATTATGATATAACAAATGCAATTTAAAACCCTTTTCATGAAATGTTTCCTAAATCAAAATATACCTTTTTACAGGGATCAGTTAACATTCGCAGAATATGAGAATTCTGGACCTGGTTCTGACACTTCTAAGAGAGTGAAATGGACAAAGAAACTGAGTTTAGAGACAGTTAATGCGATGGCAAGTCTTAGCTTCGTTGACAATGACGGTTGGTTGAGTAAACATCATTAAATCAGCTCACAAGAGCATAATATATAGTTTATATTTGTACATTATTGTTTATTTTAATTATATAAAATGTTAATTGAAGTAGGAGTCTTTTTGTTCCATCTTCTAATTAATCATTGAGCATAATAATATCTATGTCCTCTGCCTTTTTTTTAGAGGATTTGGCTCTTTTCTTTTACGAGAATGTAGAACCGTTTGTTGAAAGAGTTATAACAGATTTTGATCTTGTTAGTATCAGAACTGTAATTTTTTTTCTCATAATTGTACTTTTTGTTGAAAAATAAGTTTGAAAATATGAGAAAAGAAATCGGTTGATTAAAAATGACTTTTCACATCAGATAAAGAACTGATATAAATACAAATGATATAATTTATTACGTAAAAGCTATTTTAATATTTGTTTTATTACAATCGATGAAGAAAATATGTTTTTTACATTGATTGCGTTATAATTAATCAAAACTATCTATGTTTTTACATCAATCATAGTATGATCAATGTGTTTCTTAAATGATATTGAAAGTCACTTTTTATATTAGTTACGGTAGCAATGAAGTAAAATCTTTTGTTTTTCTTTTTAAATATGCAACTTTTATACATTATAACTAACCTTAGTTGTTTGAGAAATGTTGGACGTCTCTCTTATTTTTCTGTGCTATAAGTATACCATATAACTCATTACAAAACACATGTTCTCTTATTTTTTTTTAATATCTAATTATCTTAAATTCAAATAATTTACACAAAGATAAAAAAATAATCTTTTATTAATAGGCACATTTCTATTAGTAAATTTCATAAATTCTTCTACTCCATTTTCATAATGTCATATGTACGTCTAATATTTATTTAACTATTCATAGTTACAAAATAAGATAATTGAATAATTTTCTTCTAACTAAGATTTTAAACTTTTGATCTTCCTCTGATTAGGTATAACCTTATCCCATTTAAGAAAAAACTTTTTTGTAAAACAATTATAAAGTATTTTTTGCATCTCATATATTACATAAGATAAAATTTTTACATCATTTTGTATTAGTTTCTAAGTACACAACTTGAAAGTGGTATAATGTATCACAACTAAATATGCACTTATAGACAGTGTAAAATTTAAGGAACAAAAATTTCATCGAGTATATTTTACAATAATCGTAAAACAAATTATAATTCCTCGATGTAAAAATTTGTTCCCAAACTATCCAACTTAGACAAATCAAGATTCAATACAATAAAATGAACAAGGTATTGTATTAAATCTTTAATGTGAAACTAAGGTTTCACTCACGAAAAAGAAATGAAAAAATTATCAACATGATCTTATTATCAACCAAGTATGCACATAAAGACAATGCAAAGTTTACAGAAACAAAATTTTATCAAGTATATTATAGAAGAATCATAAAACGATATATTTGCTCGATGAAAAAGTTCCCAAACTATCCGGAAGCATAAATTATGTTAAAGACCAAACCCAAGAAGCAAAAACTCAGCCCATGAATCCTTTATCTGCACAATGAATGCCACTATGAATAGACATATTTAATTGCATAAGTTACAACAACCATGTTGTCTTATAACTCCGAAACTCATCCTAATTACTTTAATTTTTACCAAATTTTGTTAATTTTCTAGGACGAATTTAGCCCTTCAAGACTAGTATAAATAGGGCTCTTTGCTATGTCATTATTATTAAGAGTTTAAGAATAATTCCTATATATTGAGTGTTCTCCATTCTCTCTGAGTTCCTATACCATTTTGGTAATCAGAGCCCGATTTCAAACTCTAGTGTCAAGTTTAAGTGTGAAGAGTGTCTGAAATCCATTAGAGAGTGGTGTTCTCAAAGAGGTGCTTGGTGTCGCCACCTTCAAACTCACACGCCACTCCTAGAAGTCCACGCTCCGCCACTTGTTCCTCATGCATCCATATGCCTGCTAAAGGTTGAAGAAGTTGACGTCACCGTCATGTAAGCAACACGTCACTCAAGCTAGCCACACGCACCCAGCCACGTGTCACAATGCCATGCACAAGACCTTACCACATCCTCTTGACACGTCACAAACTTTTATGAATTTACCATTTATCCCAAAACGTCACTTTCTCCCCATGTCACTTATCTAAAATTATGAATCACTCTAAAACAACATACTTCATCACTTTACCCATCATAACCTTAAAACATACCTTTTTACCTGCAAAACTCACAAAATGCCTCCAAGACAAAGACCTGTCCAAGAGATTGAGATGGAAGAAATGAGGAGACAAATTCAACAAGTCCAACAAACTATGATGGCCTAACAATTGAAGGAACAACAAAAACAACTTGAAGGATAAGGAAGACTTTAAGAAGATGATTCAGATAATAATGACTCTTCATCTGCTAGTAGACAACACCTCAAAGACAACATTTTAGGAGCAATGATATAAAGGTGGAGCAGAAAAGCTTCAACTAGATGAGTTCATAGATTGGCTCTAAAAACAATGGAACAAGTGTTTGACTTCAAAGGGGTACCTGAGGAACAAAAAGTAAAAATTGTTGCCATCAAACTCAAGAAACATACTTCCTGTACTGGATAGGACACCATTCAGTCTCAATGATAAAAGAAGAAATCTGAATACTCCCTCGGTCTAAATAAGATGAGTACCCTCCCGGTCAGATTAAGAATGAATCAAAGGATAATTAAATCAATTAGAATAAATAATCAGATCATTATTTACTTAATTAAAAGGCGAAAGTCAGGGCTGATTTACTAAGTCCATTAGCCCATAACATTGTCTATAAAAGGAAAGTAAGAGATACAGGTAAATGGTTGACTTTCAAATATTTAATAGCAGCCTAAACTGACATCTGATTTTATCATCGGACTACTTTTTGCAGGTACACTCCTCCTACGTCAGACAGAGAAAATTAGCAGTACTTGTAAGGACGTGACCTTATCCCAGAGTAGAAGAGTAACAAGAAGATCAATGTATCCGTAATAGAAACATTTTGACGCTTGTCGTGAGGCTCGATTTGCCTCAATTTTCAAAGCCATCATGGTACTTACTAGGAGTCAGCAAGAAGGACAGAATCAGCAAGGAGGAGCCTTTCGTCAGCAAGAGGACACTACACCGAACCCATCGATCTCTGAAGTTCTAGCTGAGGAAGGAGGAGATGAAAGCCTTTTCTCGGTAGTAAGACAACTTATGACTGAAATGATGGAGATACAAAGGATAAGAGAGAAAGATACTCTTGAGTTGTCAGCTTTAAGGAAGGAACATGCCAACCTGAGGGAAGAAATCAAAACTTACATACCCTCTCAAACTATCCCTCTTGTTTAGGAGCAGGGAGAGTCCTCGACTCTACAAGAAAGGCCAAACACATATCAGCAAACTAAGACCCCTGTTGAACGAGATTGTACTTCAAGTCAAAGCCCTTTCATTCAGCCTATTCTGGAAGCAAAATTACCTGAGAACTGGAGAGGCTTAACATTGGAGAAGTATGATGGGACATCCAATCCTGAGGAACACTTGGATATTTTTACAACTCAAGTCGGCCTATATACAGAAAATGATACTTTATTATGCAGAATATTTTTGACTTCGCTTTGTGGGCCAGCCCTCAACTGGTTTACCAAGTTATCCCCTTCGTCCATTGATTCGTTTGCAACGCTTACCAAACGATTCAGTTTACAGTTTGCCACAAGCCGCCCCCACCCTTTGACGTCTTTGGCGTTAGTTAACATCCGTCAAGAAAAGAAAGAGACACTTAGAGCATTCATAGAGCGCTTCAGTAAAGTAGCCCTCTTAATCCACAATTTGGAGTCCGCAGTTGCAATGCACCACCTCATAATAACCTTGAGACCGAGACCTTTTGTCAACAACATATGTAAAAAACCACCTGTTGATCTGGACGAATTAAGAAGTTGGGCCGCTAAGTATATGCAGATGGAAGAATTAGCCGAATACTGAAGTCAAATTTGAATAGAGCAGGGGTCCAACCAAAGAGAGGGTGACAGGAGAGAATCTTTTAAAACTAGGCAAGTAAATAAGGACTAAAGAGGAGAGACCAAGCGACCACTAAGAGGACCTAAGTATATCACTTATACTAGTTTAAACACTAATTGGTCTAGATTACTCAAGTAGGCATTGGCAACTGAGATACTGACTATTCCCAGGCATCTGAATACCTCTCCTCAGGCAGATAAGTCAAAATCATGTCGATACCACAGAAATAGGGGACACACTGATGAGTCACTAACTCATCTAGAAAACTAAAGGTTTTTAGGCATATTTCATTTAATTTAAATTATAAGTTAATGCAATAAATTGATAAATTCAATGGAATGTTGTATTTGCTGAAAAATTCATGAATCACTCATATTCTAATGGCTGACAGTTTTATTTTGAAGGGATTAAAAAGAAATTTGCAATTGGACTTAAAGAGCTAAAGTTGAGTGTCGTAGGTCTCATTTGTGGGAACATGGATTCCTGATTGTGAGGACACAATGCTGATTGAGCATATAAAAGTGAAAAAAATTCTAAAAAGACGATATCTTTTATTCATTCCTTTTTAGTACATTCTAAAGCGCAGAAACCTAGGTTTTACATACAACTTATGTAGAATATGGTAGCTAGGGTATTTTCTTTACATCTTTGCTAGAGAATTCTTATGGAAACTTGGATTTTATCTCATTTTCTTTGGTTATATAATGGAACAGTAACTTTTTTATTTCATCTATTTGTTGTAAGCGTTTTTATAAACATGAATTCTATTTTTGCAATATATTTCAGTTTTATATTATTTACTTTCATTATATATAGCTAAATATCTTTGGGTTGAGTGAGGATAAACCTATACATTTGCCCTTTACAATGAACTAACACTGGATATAGCTCAAGATACATACATTAATCTAACATATTAATTTTGAACTTAATATTTTTCTGTTTTACGTGAATAAGATTGATGAAAAAGAGTTTATTGCTAGAAATTAGTGAACTTTCTTGGAAAGTGATTAATTTGCTTATTATGAATTGTTTGGGAATAGAAATTTTTGATGATGTGGTCAATGGATTTAATTCTTAATGCTGAATGTCTTTAGTTGTATCTAAGGAATTAGGACACTAATTTCATTTTAGAACCAATTACCAAAGAATTAGAGTTGGATACTTTAGAAAATCTAACCATTATATGAAGTTGTATTTTGAGTTATACATATATTTGTATGCAAAGGGAAAGGGATTCCAAACTCAACCTATTTTTAATTGCATTAAACCCACCTCCAGTAATTTAGACATTTATATTCTGCAATTATTTTAATTAATCCTCTACTTTTAGTCTTGTAGTTTCTGTTTATTTATAAATAGTAATTCTGACACTTTCAATTCTGTTTTTATAATTCTGCACTTAGTAATTTTACATTCTGTTCATACTCTATTTTTGGTGACCCAACTAGTGCTATTCTTGTGGATTGGTACTTAACATTAATCCTTGTGTACGATAATCTATTTTGTTACTTCAATGATTTGGTGCACTTGCCAAAAAGTTTATCACACATCACTGAAGAACGCATAGTCCTTAAGGACCGCATTGAAGACTTGGTAAAAGCTAGACACCTACAAGGGTATAGAGATAGAAGTAGGGAGCATCATCCCGAGCTATCAAGAAGAAACAATGATAGAAGAATGTAACGACAACGTAGCAGGTCAATAGAACCCCCTGTCAAGCATAACGATGAACGTGGGAAGTATCCTCGCCGAGTTATTAACACTATTGCAGGTGGGTTTGCTGGCGGAGGATCTATCAATTCGGCTAGGAAAAGACATTTTAGACATGTCTGCTTGGTCAACCACATATCATTGGAGTGGAATCCGAATTCCTCCCATTACATTTACTGACAAAGATTTCCAAGGAGCGAACCTGGTTCAGGACGATCCTATGGTCATAAGTGTCGACATTCTTAATTGCACTATCCGAAGGACTCTAATTGATCAAAAAAGCTTGGCTGACATCCTGTACTGGAATACTTTCAAGCAACTTGGGATACCAAAAGAGGAATTGAAGGAGTATCACGAACCACTTGTTAGTTTCTCTAGGGAACGAGTGAAGACCTGTGGCTGTATTGATATATACACCTTATTTGGATTAGAACACGAAGGAAAATGTATTAAGGTCACTTACCTAGTGGTACACGCAAGTACTTCATATAATATACTACTCGGCCGGCCATCTCTTAATAAATTGAAGGCCATAGTGTCCACTCCTTACTTGACTATGAAATTTTCATTTGAGAAAGACCGAATTATTACCGTTCATGTCAACCAAAAGATAGCCAGAGAATGCTACTTTGCAAGCTTACGTCTAAAACCCTTCCAAGGGCATAGACGAGATGTTAATATCGTATCTCCTCGGTCAGGGGAAAAGTTGGATATAGACCTTGATCCAAGAATAGATGAGGGGTTTCGGGTTGAACCCAATAAAGATAAGAAGCCTTTTCAGCTAGGTAAAAAAACTGAACAAGTCACTTACCTTGGAACCGATTTGTCTTTGGACGAGTAACAGGTCCTTCAAAATGTGTTGAAACGAAATGCTGATTTATTTGCATGGTTAGCCTCGAATATGTCAGGAATAGACCCTAATTTTTTATGTCATCATCTATCCGTTTACAAGGGGGCAAAACCAATAACATAGAAAGAGAGAAAGATAGGGAGTGATAGAGCACGAGCAGTCCAGGAAGAAACGTGCAAATTGTTACAAGCTGACTTTATCTGAGAGGTAAGATACTCTACCTGGTTGGCCAATGTTATGATGGTAAGAAAGGCTAATAGAAAGTGGAGGATGTGCATTGATTTTACTGATATCAATAAAGCATGTCTTAAGGATGCTTATCCTCTTCCCAACATCGACAATCTAGTCAACGGTGCTCCTGGCTACAAGACACTCAGTTTCTTGCACGCACATTCAGGGTATAACCAGATTCAGATATATCCCTTAGATGAGGAGAAGACGACATTTATCACAAATTCGGTAAATTTCTGCTATAAAGTAATGTCCTTCAGTCTTAAAAACGCAGGTGCAACATATCAGAGATTGATGAACAAAATCTTTGAAAAATAAATAGAGAAATGCATGGAAGTTTACGTCGACGATATGGTAGTCAAATCCATCTCCATTGATAGATATGTTGCCCATTTAAATGAAGTGTTTGGTGAAACAAGACGGCATGGAGTGAGGTTTAACCCAGAGAAATGTACATTTGGGGTAGCCGAAGGAAAATTCTTGGGGTTCATGCTTTCAGAAAGAGGGATTCAAGCTAACCCAAATAAGTGTAAGGATATTATTGAGATGACAAGTCCTCGTAATATAAAAGAGGTGCAATGGCTTGTTGGTCGAATAGCTGCTCTCGCTAGGTTCCTACCTGCAATGGCAGAAAGATCTCAGCCTTTTATTGATCTTCTCAAGAAATCACAGAAGTTCACCTAGACAGATGAATGTGAACAAGCTTTTATTCAATATAAAACACACACTGGCAACCCCACCCATTTTAGCAAAACCAAGACCGGGTCAGGATATGATAGTCTATGTAGCTGTATCAGACAAGGCTATCAGTTTAGTCTTATTACATGAAATTCATGAACAAGATCCAGTATATTTCATCAGTCGAGCCCTTCAGGATGTCGAAACTCGATATCAGTTAATGGAAAAAGCAGTGTTGGCATTGGTTCATACAACGTGGCAGTTGAGGCATTATTTTTAGAGTCATCGAATAGTAGTACAAACAAATTACCCAGTTGCCAAAATTTTACAAAAGCCGAAGTTAGCAGGTCGGTTAATGACATGGGCGGTTGAGCTATCCCAATTTCATATTTTCTTTGAGGCCTGAGGACCTCTTAAAGCTTAGATACTTGCCAATTTCGTTAATGAATTCACCACTCAGAAACAAACCAACACCAACATGTGGAAATTGCACGTTGACAAATTATCAAATCTTCGCGGTTGTGGAGCAGAAGTTATATTAGAAGGGCCGAACACTATGATACTTGAACAGTCTATTCGATTTAGGTTTAAGACATCTAATAACCAATTTGAATACGAAGCATTACTGGTCAAGCTCAGACTTGTAAAAGAAATTGGGGTCAGACGTATCACATGATGAAGTGACTCAAAAGTAATGGTCGAACAGGTTAACGATACATATCAAGTTAGAGACCCCATCATGTTGCAATATTATCATGAATTCAAACAAATTGAAAGTGAATTTGACAAAGTGTGTGTTCGGTATACACTGAGAACCATGAATGAACAAGCTGATAGGCTTGCAAAATTGGCTAGTCAAAGGAAACCTGGACAGCTTCAGAGTATGATTCATCAGTAAATCAATGTCCCTAGCATAAACGGATATGAATGCATGGAAATTAAAGAAACATCTCAGAACTAGATGACATAGATTATTCAGTATCTTAAAACTGACAACATACCTGAAGATCCGGATCAGGCAAGACAATTAAGAAAGAGAGCAGTCAGGTTTACCCTCGTCGGTCAAGAACTATATAAAAGAGGAATCTCTACCCCTTTGTTGAAATGCCTTGATATAGAACAAGTCAATTATGCGATGAGAAAAATTCATGAAGGTATTTGTGATACACACTCGGGGGGACGAACAATGGCAACAAAAATTCTAAGGCCGAATACTTTTGGCCAACCCTATCCAAAGATTGTGATCTTTTTGTCAAAAAATGTATTCTCTATCAACAACACGGACCATATATACATCAGTATGCCAGCAACCTTCATCCAATTACTTCTCATTGGCCCTTTGCCATTTGGGGAATGGACCTACTTGGACCCTTTCCTTTGGCAAAAGGACAGTGCATATTTTTAATTGTCGATGTTGACTATTTTACCAAATGGATCGAAGCAGAACCGCTTGCTACCATCACAACAAATAATGTTTATAAATTCACTTGAAAGAACATCATCAAACGTTTCAGCATTCGACATGCCCTGATCACAGATAATGGTCTACATTTCAGATAGGCACTTTAACAAATTTTTAAGCGGATTGCAGATTAAACATTGAGTCACTTTTGTCGAGCATCCCCAAACCAATGGACAAGCCAAGGTAGCAAATAAAGTCATCCCACATGAACTAAAAAAAAAAAGGTTAGGTTCGGCAAAAGGCGAATGGGCAGAAAAATTTCCTGAGATTTTATAGGCTTATCGGTGTACTCCTCAAACAACCACAAAGGAAACACCTTTTCGGTTAAACCTATGGTATTGATGCTATAGTCCCGGTCGAAATTGGGGAGCGATCCTTTCAGAGGCAACATTTTGATGAACGTACTAATAGTGAAGCTTTGGCTGTTAACTTGGATTTATTGGACGAGGTACAGGATTAAACAACAGTCATGGTTGAGGCTAATAGAATATACCGTTTAAATAAGCTTTCACCTAATGATAATCCAATACTGTTTAATGATAATCTAATATTTGACGAAGAATATACCCTTGCAAATCATGGTAAATCATTAGTTATTAGAAGAAGCCTACATGCTACTCCAGTAAAGAATATTGGTTGAGACATATCATAGATAGTGGAAGTTATGAGAATATAGTGTCTAATTCATGGCAAAAAAGCTAAATTATCAATACAAGATCATCCACACCTATACAAACTACAATGACTTAGCAAAGGAAGTGAGGTAAAAGTTTCTAAATGTTGCCTTGTCTTTTTTTTCTATTGGTCAAAATATCAAGACAAAATATTATTGCAGTAGTAAAACTAACTAATTAGACTTGAGCAGAAATTTATAAAAAAAAAACAACAAAATTTTAATCACCGTACATAATTTTTTCTAACATCAAATTCTCAAATATTTTAGCTTATGTTGTAGTTATTAAAAATGAAACTGAAAATATTATTACATTAGTTATAAAAGTTTAAAAAAATCTTATAAATAAATAAATGATTTATGTAGAAGTCTTTTATTATTTGAACACCTATATTATTTTTATATCATAATTTTAAATAAGTTAATAACATAATTATAGAAATAAATTTCATCATCACTCATCTAAATGGTTTTTTTCTCTAAACAATTTTCTTTTTTAGAATTTTAATTTATATATTCCACTTAATAATGAAAAAATTAAATTAAATTTCATAATAAAAAATAATTATATGAAAGATAATAAATATTTTTAAAAATGAGTGAGTAAAAATTTAGACATATAATCATTAAATTTTAAAAATATATAGTCCTTCTATTAAGATTATAAATATGTTTGAATTAATTTTTTTTATCAATTACATAATTATAAATATTTTTAAAAATATTAATGAACATATATTTAATATACAATAAATATATACTAATTTAAAATTAAAAATGAATAATTTGGCATAAAATATAAATTAGTGAAGATTAAAAGGATTTTGTTGGTAATTTTAAAAATGAAAGTAGACAGTTATATGTTTAAGGATCAATTTGAAGAGAGAAAAAAAAAAGTGAAGAAAGTAGATGATGATTGATTTTGATACGGAAAGAGTTAAAAGAATGGGGGGTAGGTTAAGGATATAAGGATTCACAGATGGGTGGGCGGTGAGAGGAGAGGACAATGGATTTGGAGGGGAAGAAAGGAGAAGATATGGATTCCCTATTTGAAGGGATGGTACTGTTTAACCCTTCAGATTCCCATTCCCCAATTGAAGCAGAGAATGGTTGTGATGATTCTCTTTCTTGTTCGCAATCGCAGCCCCTTGACGAGAATCTCTTCTCTGATCTCACCCTTGTGCTGGATCCCCTTGCAAACTCAGGAGTAGCCGAAGGGGACCACGATCATGATCAAGATCACGATCACGATCACAATCTCCAATCCCAGCATGCATCTGCTCCTGTTACCGCCTCAAATCCCTCGAGACAGCCCCCCAGAAGGAGAAAACGATCTGGATTGAGGATAGGATATGGCAGAGACCCTCTTTCATCCAACGATCTGTCTCCTTCTCCGCTCCATACGGATACTGTTCCGGACACAGACACGGACACCCTTCCCTCCGTCGCCACTGTCACTGATGCTGTTCGTGACGGAGACAAGGACACCCTTCTCTCCGTCGCCACTGACACTGATGCTGTTCGTGACGGAGACACGGACACCCTTCCCTCCGTCGCCACTATCACTGATACTGTTCGCGACGGAGACACGGACACCCCTCCCTCTGTCGCCACTGTCACTGATACTGTTCGCGACGAAGACACGGACACCCCTTCCTCCATCGCCACTGTCACTGATACCCAACCAGCGAATGAGAATCCCAAACAGCAAGAAAATGTTTCAGCTTCTTCGGAGACAGAATTCAGCCAAATTAAGGCTAGCATACGTGAGAAGCTTGACCATGCTAGTCAACTGGTGAAATCTGCTTCTGCTGCCCGAAAGAAGTCGATCAGGAATAGAAGAAAAACTGCTGAAGATGCCAATCTTGCTTCTCTCAAACACATGCAACTTGAAAAGCAGTTGGAAGAAGCCTGCGAAGCTGAAGATTTTGAAAGGGCTGAAAAGGTTAGCGAAAACCTCTCTGCTGCCGAGAAGGAGAAACAAGCTTTCACCAATTCGTTGCGAGAGGCTGATGCCTTTGTCGATGCTTTAGACTTAAAATTACAGCATGCCCTCGACTCTCAGATAGCCGCCGAGGAACAATGTGCAATCTTACTCGACCATTATGCAACGGTTAGTAAGAAACAACCCATAATTATGCCATTTTACATTAATCTTCCTTTACTTGTTTACTCTTGTCAAATACTCGAAGTCCACAACTCTCAACCATCGTTTTTAAGCATAGATCCAATGTTGACCAAGCCTAAGAAAACGTGATTGTCTACTTTACAGCTTTTCCATGTCCTTTTAACTTTAACTTCATATAAATCCATCAATAAAATGAAATGTGATATATTCTACACGCTCATCTTCAGGCTAAAGACGAATACTTTTTGGCATGTATTCTTACTGCCGTGGGTGATTTTGCCTTTTAAATCAATGCTTCACAAGAAAATTGATTACTGGCTAAAATGCCCTAATAATCACATCATATAAATGACAATGATTGGATTCATGGATTTTGATTTAAGTCCTGTTTTATATAACTGTCAGATCCTTCTGCCTCTTTTACTGTCACTGTCTCACCCAATGGCTAAGATGCATGATCACTGCAACACTGACACTGACAAAGGAAAAGATGCAGACACTGCAGCACTGCAATTTTTTATTCCCTTTTAAGGTGCCCTTGCTTCACAGTCCAATGATCATTGGAATGTTAAGCTATTAGAAACTTTATGTTGTGTTTGGACAGAGGAATTTTAAATTACTAGATTGCATGTATTGGCTAATAAGAAAAAATATTTTTAGAATACTTTCAAAATTTTAGTTTGAGAATTTTTATGTCAAGTACAGGGAATTTTAAATGTTAGAAAGAATTTAAAATGTCCTATATGCTTAACTTTTTGTAATTATCATTCATAATTCTTCTCATACTTATTCACATTTTAAATATCCTCATTATTAATGTCAAATTCTGTGGAATTCTAAAATTCTCCGTCCAAACACAACCTTTGATAATATAAAATGGTTCCTTTAAGTATTTTAGTTCTGCTAATTATAATACCATTACCGAATCCCAATGACATTTTAATACAAGTATGTACATAACTGGTAATCTTCTTTCATTGCTCTGTGAAGAATTGTGCTCCCGCCGTTGCCTTTCATCCATTGCTGGGCATTTTTTACCGTATAATTTTGCATCTCTTTGTTGGCTTATTTCTTTAGCCTTCGCAATCAAGTTTATGGTTAGAATATCTGACGTATCTGTATTCCTTTTTCTAGAATGCTTTAAATAATGCAGATTCTGCCATGGAGAAAGCAACGTCAGTGTATTCAAAAGAAATGGACCAATGGCTGTCATCATCCGAAGCCTTGGAGGTTAAAAAGATGGAGTTGGAGATTGAATCACATTTTATGAGTGAAGCTCGTTTAGAATTGAGTAATACCATTGAGCATTCAATCCAGGATGACAAAAGAGAAAAAGAGATCCTTTGTAAAAGAAAGGACGTGTTAATGGGTGAATTGGAACAACTTCTTGCTTTAGTTAAACAGAAAGAAAAGGAGATAGCAGACAATGACTCTAATTTAGAAGCTGTAGAGAATAAGATAAGTAAAGCTGTCTCTGGATTTAAAGAGGTTCAGTCAAGCATTGATGTCAAGTATGACAAGTTGCAATCTGTCCTTGCTCGAGTGAAATTAGAGACTGAAACTTTGGCACACAAGAAGGAGGAAATTGATAACTTTCTCATTCAGGAAGAAGAAATGGGAGGAAGACTTAAGGAGTTTGCCAGGATTTCTAAGGAGGAAGCTGAGGGATACCATGAAATAGTTAAACTACGAAGAACTTTGATGTCGTCTATATTGAAGTCCAGGGAGGACAAACTGACACTTACCAAGAATGAGGAAAAGCTTTGTGAAGATGTGAAATTGTTTCAATTGGATGTTTCTGCTGCAAGAGCTTCCTTGCAGGTATTATAATTTCTTATGCTGATCTTTTTGTTTTTTGGAATTGCTTATATGGCTGAAACGTGATGAATAATCAATCAGACTCCCAGCGTAATGCATGGCATCCGTGACTGCCTATAACATTAAATTTGAAGTTATACAAACTAGCCAAGTTTCTTGAATATATATATATATATATATATATAGGTTGAGAGAATACTATAAAATGGTCCCACTTGTAATCAAACCCATGATATCTTATTTTCTGTATTATAAAGAAAAAAAAATCTTTTGGTAGTTATTTGGTAACAAATGTCATTACACTGTTTTTAGGAACTATCTTCAAGAAAGTCAAGCATCCAGCAAGATATAGCATCCTTAAAGCAAAGGATTATTTTCATAGATAAGAGAGTCCCTGAACTGGAAGCAGAAAAGAAAGTTGCTACTGCTGCAAGAAATTTCAAGGAGGCTGCACGAATTGCTACTGAAGCAAAGTCACTATCCATTGAAAAAGAGAGCATCCAGATAAACATGCATACGGCTACGATAAATCATGAAAAGCTTGAAGATGAAATCAAAGACACCCTTGATAGATTGCAAGAGACTGAGGGAATGATTTTATTGAAGGAAAAAGAGTTGGCAATGGCTAGGTATCAGAGACTACTTTTGACAACTGCTATTGCTAGAGCTGAAAAGGCTGCTGCACTAGAGATGAGTGACATGGAAGAAGCTAATCTCCTGCTTGCAGAAGCTGAGGCAGCAGATTGTGAAGCTGAGAAACTTCAATCAACATACAAATTTGAGATGGAAGACTTCGCTGATTTACAAAAACATTTAATTTCAATGGATCTTGTATCCTATCTGGATCGGAAGCAATTGGAGGAATTAGCTATGTCACTTAATCTATTTACTGGCTGATTGTTGAAACGTGATTTTAATTGATTTAGTGATAATCTAGCGAATGCTCTTAATTACTGAAGTACTGGTTACTGAAGTGCAACATTATAGGCCAACCCTTGTGATACAATGTCTTCACTCCTCACGCATCTCTACATTTTAATGATTGTTGAGCATGAGATTTGTGTATTTTCCCTCTTTCAATTTTTGAGGGGTTGTACCCGAACCCTAACCAAAAATATAATTGAACTCAGAACCACAAAGAGGGATTATAACTTCGCCATTATCTACCAAGATGTTGATCTGCTGTGAAGATTATTTTCAATAGTAAATTGAATAATTTTCTATGTTGAAATCATTTTTTTTTTCTCATAAATTAAATTTCATTCAAACAATAGTTCGTAAACTTTTACAATTCTAGTAACAAAAAACAATATATGAAAAGAAAATATTTTTCTTTCAAGACTCATTCATGGTAAGTACATATTTATTTACTCCACCTTTGAAATGTATCTAAGATGACACATTTTGTATTATAAAGTTTGACATATTGGGCCGTTAAATGAAATAAATATTTACATTCATTATCTCATCGCATTTATATGCCTTTGCAATCAAATTGTAAAATATTAAAAATGCAAGAATAACAACTTTATTAATTGAGTTAAAGAAAATATTACACGTGCGGGTGTCACGTGAGACATACTAAATTCTTTTTGATGAATTTATTGAAGAAATCAAACTCTAGCCAAAGGAAAGGGTGAGGACAACAATCCTTTATTAGAGAACACCCAAATTGAGATATTAAAACACCATACCACTTCTTGTCCCTTTTTTAAGAATCTTTTGAAAAATTTGCTTTAATCCTTTTTTATAAATTTCTTTCCAAATTATCTACCACATTAATTTTTTTCCATTAGAAAAATGCCTCAATTAAATGTTGTCAATAATGTTTTTAGACTTTCTCTCTTTTGTGAGAACAGGGGAAGGCGACTAGCTACAATTATCTTTCTCATTTACATTTATTAATTAGGTGGAAAAAGGTTGGGAATATTTAAAACCAAACTAAATTTTTTAATTCTTGTGAAGTGGTTAAGGAATTCCTCCATGTCAAGTTCGTAGCTTCTATTTGTTTCTACAAATTACTGCCAAATATTTTTCTTCATTTATTCGTTATTCTATATCATTTTAAATAGAATTAAATATTTATTATTATTATTATTATTATTATTATTATTATTATTATTATTATTATTATTATTATCATCATCATTTATTTTTAGAATATTTTAAATATTATTTTAAAATTAGACAGAATTGAAAAAATAATTAATACCTACTCGTTCGCTATTATCATCAGTTACTTTTTCATTGTAAAAACTACTGCACTGCATGATTCTAAATCATTAAAGATGTTTAATCAAGCTAGCGGGATATTATCTCTCCTCAAAGCAGCTACATAAATTTTAGTGCTGTGGTGAGAGTTATCTTTATTGTAATATTTCATTTAAATTTAATTTATTTATTTGATTAAGCTTCTAAAGAAGTAATTGAATAATAAGAAAATAAGTATAAAAATAGTATTTTTTTTATAAATTAAAAATAACTTATACTTTTTAAATTTTGATAAATTTAAATAAAAATATTTAAAAATAAATAAATAAAAATTATTTTTAACTTATGAAAAAATTTCGTTCATTCTATTACTTAATTTTTAACTCTTATAAATACTTATTTGAGAAATTTATCTATATTAGACTTATTTATTCTAATTGACTTACTTTAACCCTTTTGACATTATTTACTATTTCTTTTGATCGCTAAAATTTATTTTTTCAATCTAACAATCATTTAATTTTTTTTTTGTAAAGCTAGCAAAATAGGTTAACCTAATTGGACTAACTTAAACTCGTTCAATCAAATGCATAATTTGTCCTTTAAATTTTAAATATGAATTGAATTAATAAATTTTTAACTTAATCCAATCAAGCATGATGATGTGAGCTAAACCCGTGAAAACTTATAAAATAATTAAATTTTATTTATTTTATAAATATTTTTTGCAAGCTTAATCTAATTTCTAGTGCTCCATTCAAGCTTTTATGTCAATCAACTTCTAGGAGCACCACCTAAAAAACAATTATATAACAAAAAGCTCTACTTAAATACTAAACTATTATCACAAGAAGAAACAAAACGACTAGACTACTACTTTTACAAATAAAAATAAAAAAGGAGTTTTGCACTTACCTTTTTTTCTATTTCAATTTTCTAAAATGTGTTTTCAAAAATATTCTCATTAAAATTTTAAATCTCTCTTCCACTTTGTTCCTTTACCTTATTCCTTCTCCAATTCTCGTCATTCTCTTCTCTTTCTTCCCTCCATCTATTGTTCTCTTTTCACCGGGCTAATTGTAATGCCCATAAAGAAAACCCAAGCTCATGGCTACCCAATGGCTAGTAAGGCAGATGTTTTAGGCCTCCGATCGTTTTTAAATATTTTATATATTTTAAATATTATTAATTTAAATTATTATATTATAAAATGATTGTATTTCTTTTCATAAATTTTAATAAAATTATGTAAATCTAAAATTAGTTTTTAATGTACGTTTAATTACATAATAAATAATCAGTTCTTAATCCTTTCATTTTTGTAAAATTTTAATTTTAGTCTCAAACTTTTTTTTTTCAAAATTCAACATTTTTGTCTCTGTTACTAAAGTAACATCACAAAAAATTGGCATTTAGCAACCTCTTAGCCACATTATCACTAAGAACCAAAAACATTAAATTTAAAAAAAAAATCAAAGACTAAAAAATAAAAATAAAAATTGAAAGATCAAAATTAAAATTTAACAAAAATATAAGGACTAAAATATTTAAAATTGCTCACAATAAAAATGTCTTCTTTGGATATTTAGAAGCGCTATTTTAAAAATTTTGAAGCATTGCGTAATACACATATAATTGCAAATTCCTCAGTAAAGCACCGGTGGACACCACGTGGGCATTTATTTTCTATATTTAATCTATCAAAGTTAGCTATTTTTCATAAATATTCTGATCAAACATTTTTCCAAAAGCATTGTTTATACTTTGAGCTGCTCCCTTTACGATATAAAGGCTCCTACCGTGGTAAAACAAACAGAAAATAAAAAAGGAACTTCTACCATTAGTGGCAACACAGCTTTATCTTGCAGTAATATTAACATCAAAAGCCAAGGCAAACTTGCATTATATCTCTTCAGTTTCCAGATAAAGCAAAAATCTGAAATACCGCAAACATCAGATAATGAATGCCAGACTGTTGTAAGAGGAAACTACAATTTACTGGTCGACGACATAAACTAGCTAGGGAAAGGTTCATCAATGCTCATTGTTGCTTCATCTTGACCTGTGATCAGAAAGCTCTTTTATATTATCCTGCTCTTCTTTGATGCATGGTTCATCCACCGCCATTGAGTCCACCCCCAACACCTGAAAACATGAAATTTTAACACACCAGACTGATCTTATAAATGAGAAATTTTAGTTTATAAAGGACAAAACATTCAACCTTGGAGCATGCAATCTCCTTGAAAGGCATGAGAATGTCTCTTGCATATTCTAGATGTTTATGACAACTTTCCTGGAATTAAAAACAAGTTGCTAATTAGTCAATCTGAAAGGAATTGATTCATCTTAAATTTGCAAACCTAGACAAAATAATTGTATAAGTACATCGTTTATCGGTACATATAAGAAGTAACATGTGCTCAATCACTAGGAAAATGAAAAACTAAAACGATACAATTCATCTTGATCGCATTGAGGGTTTCATAAAATATATTTTTGATTTGTTTGAAATGATGCATATGTCACGTAGATAATAAAGTTATATTTATAGAAAGTTGCATCTTCAATAAGAATCCAATTGGGTGTTGGACAAATCCTTTCCATCGCTGTAAATTCTAAACTCCAGTGACAGTCATCAGCAAAGCATTAAAATGAAATATCACGCTCATTCAATTCACTATAATCTAGTCATTACTCATTAGTTAATCTGCCAATTTTTTCATTCGATTTCAATAATATTTGAATGATTATTTGGAACAGTTTTTTGTTGCTGGAAAGTAAAGAAAACAGGTCAGGACATACCGCATCTTTATGCTCTGCTTCAACGCATTCGCTTTTCACCCTTCTGGGAACAGGATTTCTGTAAAAACAGATATGTCAAGAGCCTAACAAGAAAGAAAGTCAAGATAGGCTGCAAAAGCACAAGAACATACCTATCATCATCAACCTCCATGTCAGAATCAGGATCCCATCTTTCATCTCTGTCATCTTGATCTTCATCTCTCTAAATATGAAAAGTAACAAATAAGTTCTCAGAATTTATTCAAACACCCCAACTCATTCAACAATGGTATGTCACAAAACCAGATATAACCATGAAAGTAAAAACATAATGGATCATTTGAAGACGCTCTTTCATGTTGATGAACAGTATTTCCCCCCTACTTTTAGCAGTATGATGTACAACACTCTACAGATTTCATTGTGAGATGTGATATTTGCACTGTTAATACATGTTTATAGCATGTTCAAGTATCTAACTGCAAATTGTCAAGATTGAATTTTGCTGATATGTAGCCACTAACATAAAATTTGCAGATTTTTCTTTTCAAATGCAACATTGACAGTTTGGTTATTGAAATTAAATGTAGTAACTCCACTAGGATGAAATAAATCTAAACAATGGAATGATTTCAAATTTTGCTCCTACAAGATCATCATTGAGAGAAGTTGACACACATCTGTGCCAAAGGATATCCAAATGCTTTTCAACACATATCTTTGGAGGGAAGTTAGAAACTACTCAATAAATGATTAAGAGAAGATCATCTAACAAAAAGCATTGTACGGTCAGTAGGTGCTAAAGCAAACCTTTTGAAGCTCAGTGTCAGGTGGTCGCTCCTGGAATGGGACACTTGGGGCATGTTGAAGCCTAGATAAATTATCAAGAAGTTTTGCTCTTATTTCATCCAATAATAGTCGGGCATTCTTGTTTTCCATGTTACTTGGAGCAACGTGAAGAGTATAGTCAGGACCAAAATATTCATAATACTCATGTTGAGGCATCTTATCATCAAGTTCAATCCCAAGAGCAACACCTGTCTGATCAACAAACAATTGAAATTTGTTAATCAGAGAATACTTTCTGCTTAAAAAGTAGAATATTTTAATTTAGAACAAATAATAGGAATATAGATCAAATCAACACTCAACAGTGCCACTTATTGATTCCCATATATTACATTTCAATAGGACGGGTAAAATCCAAAAACCAAAGGAAGGCATACCTCCATTTTTAATTCTTAGCTCTGTTAGATTTTTTCCCATAATGCTATACAACTAAATGTTAATTGCTTGTGAGTTGTGGGAACCGTAGGGCATTTTTCACACTATAAAAAATTTTCATGCATGAGCTACTGTGCTAATCTTCATTGACATTTCAGTGCTGGTGTTTATTTATGCCCATTTCAGAGGATTTCCATACTATAAAATTATTACTTAACACTTAATTATTAGACATCAATATTCATCCTTCAAAGAGAACAAAGACAAATGATAAAATAATCCAACAACAAACTAAGAAAGTACATGCTGGAGCACACAACAAAATACCTCATAACACCAACAGCGTGCCACATTTCTTATTGTATAGCCACCTCCCCCCAGCAACAAAAGGGGAACATTAAAAGATCTCATATATTTGACACACTCTGCGTGACCTTTTATGGAAAGATTGAAGCAACCTAATCTGTCCCCAGATAAAGAGTCAGCACCACATTGTAACACAACAGCACCAGGCCTAAAAATTTCCATAACCTTTCCCATTATTGGCTTAAACAAGGACTGATAGCTCTCATCATCAATTCCATCGTCCAAGGGAACATTTAGTGAATAATATTTCCCTTTACCATATCCTATATCACGAATATCACCTGTTCCAGGAAAGTAATCTCCAAACTTATGAAACGAAACAGTCATGACCCTATCAGTGGTGTAAAAGGCCTCCTCTACACCATCACCATGGTGGATATCAATGTCAACATATAGAACACGCTGCACAATGATAACGAAAATGAAGATTACAATGAAAGAACCTTCAAGACAAAACATTTAATATAAAACATTAAAACATTTGCTGCAAATATGATTTAGAAGGAAATGCCTTTCAAGAGCTGCAATGTAAAGAAGTTCTGACGTAAACAGCCACATCAAGGCAATAATCAATGTTTACCTCATTAAAGTAAAAGCAAAATGCACTTAAATTCCCTTCACAAAACATAAGGGAAGCTCTAGCTCAAGTGTCATCGTCAAGGACAGGAAAACAAAAGGATTCATATCAAATGTTGACATAAAAGTAGGATAATTTTTCTGATTAAGTTGTTAACAATTTGTAAAAACTATTCAGTTTGGCAAAATAAGCAATATGGGGAAAAAAATCCTATACAATTTCCTAATTAGTTTGAAATCACCTCGAGGTTTCTGAGAACACCACAGACAAGCCTACAAATACACTACTTTGAGAGTTGAAAATAGCTAGCTATTATAATTCATGAAAAACAAAACCACTAGTTTATTATCTAATATTTATTAAGCATGCTGAAGGAACCAGTTCAATAAAAACCTTAAACAATTAGGAGAACCCCAAAAATGGATTCATTTTATTTCTTTTAACAGTTACTTATCAAATATTAAGAGGTAAGTTAAAACAAAAATATAAATAAAAAAATATTAGGTTAACTGCATATTAATGTACAATAGAAGGGAATGCAGTAAAGGTAACACCTAAAAAATGGATTATTAATTAATAATAATGAAAAAACATATAACATGGAACGAGTATTAATTACATGCATGCTGTGAAATTTTTGCAGATATTGGTTATGTAAAGAATAAATTCAATCTAAATTAAAATCAGCAGAACCATACATGAATAAGATAACGTGGAGAATTAAATTTGGTAAACCTCGTGTATCTTGAGGAGTTCCAAAATAGCCAGCACAATGTCATTAACATAGCAAAACCCAGAAGCCTCACACTTCTTTGCATGATGTAGACCACCAGCCCAATTTATTGCAATATCACATACTCCATGGTTCAATTTTAGAGCACCACCAACAGAACCTCCTGCATATGTCTGGCAGAAAGAGTAAAGACCGTCAAATACAGGGCAGTCTTCGCCAACATTAAACCTCTTCAGCTGTCTCAACTGATCTTGCTGTGTTTCAGGGGTGATGCCCCTCAAAAAAGCCACATAATCATCAGCATGGAACTTGCAGAGATCCCTGTCTTTAGCAGCAGTAGGCTTCAGGACCTGCATGTGTTGAAGCAATCCATAGTGGGCTAGAAGAGCATGTGTCATTCGAATCCTATGTGGTTTCATTGGGTGCCCCTGCCCATAATAATAGTTTCCAACCTCTGGGTCATAGAAATACGAAACCTTTCTCTTCGTACCATCTGACCCTGATGGAAGGGAGTTCCCTCCACTTTCCATCACCCAATCTACAAATTACCACTAATAATGTTAATCAATAAACATCAACAATAATAATAACAACAACAATAACAATAGTAGTAGTTGTAGTAAATAATAAGGAAAACAAGCAAACATCCAGTAATTATCAAGCACAGTAGTTGAGTATTTAAAGAATTTAGGATCATGAAGAAATGCAAAGATCATCCACTGATCTATATTAACCAAAGTGGCCAGCAAATTTTGCTCCTGACTGCTGAATATCAGCAGAAATGAATAAAAATTAACTAGGGTTTTAATTACAAATTGAGGCTTCATCTAGCTTCCTCCGTTCAAAACTGGGCAGACGGATTATCCCACCATGTTTGGTTGAAAAGTTTAAATGATAATTTAAATTGAGCAATTACAAAATATGTACACATTCTTGTATCTTACAGGAAATCGGACTACCACAATATATTATCAACTATGAAATTCAAGCCAAACACAAAAATATGCTTCAGAGTTCAGACCCCTATTGTAAGCTAAACACTGAAATAAAATAAAAAAAATAGACATGAAAGGCCAACGGAAGCAGCATACATGCAAAAGGCCATCATATAAAGAATGCTGGAATAATGGAACATGGAAAATCATAAAACTTTTAAAAAATGTTAGGTCTTTTCGAATTCCCTTGACATAGAAATTGCATTTGCAAGAAGATTTTCCATAACTGGGGAATAGAAAGATATTCTATTATTTCTATGAGAACAAATGCAGTAAAGAGGCTTGCTTGAGGTGTTTAAAGATATGTCGAGAAGAAATACATGGCTTCCCACCAATTAGTGCAATCAAGAATGAATCAACTTCCATGGGTAAATTGACATTAAATCACGCAAAGATAAAATATTCAGTGGGTATTTAGTGGATTAAAAGAAAGAAAACTTTGATAACCTCTCCAATAATGTACTAATCTAGTCAAACAGAATGTCCAAGGTGAGAAGAAAAGATGAGGTTTTCACCTTTCAGCGTCCAGATAACTAAGAGGGAAAGAAAAAAACAGAACAACCAAAACAAATACAGAAGAGAAGCACTACATGTTTCGAATATAATGAATGACTTAGCAACCAGAAAAAGTAATTATTAGAACATAAAGCATATTTTCTCGGAAGAAAAACAAAGGAAAATGCAGATCGGAGAAAAATCCAAGCCAGAGAGAGAGTTGACGGAGAGAAAACTCACTTTCGTTGTATGGGGCAAACGAATGGAGGAGTTCAATAGTTGAAGCAGCTGCAGGCTCCGCCTCTGAAATTGATATTCAATTTATAATTAAAAACGAGTCATATCTCTTGCTACTGTCAGGGTGCAGTGGACTGTAAGGGAGAGGATTTTGAACTCAGGTAAATTTCGAGTCTTCGCTATTCTTTCTTTTACTGTTTATCTTTTATTTTCTGCTACGTTTATCTTTTATTTTATTATTTATTATTCATATACCATAATATGATATGCATTGCTCTTTTTTTGGGGTTCTTTTTAGGAACAAAATTTTGTGTTTAAAATTCTAGGTTACATGTGTAAAATATATGGGAAGGAAACAAATTTAATCCGCGTAAGTTATATTAATTTTTATAATTAAAAATATTTATTATCAATTTAATCATTAAATTATAACTTTACCAATAAATTTTATTAAAGTTTTTAATAAACATAATATATAATAAAAAAATTTAATAGAATAATTAATTTTAAAATAAAATTGTCTAATAAAAAAATTATCCATACCTAGACTTTTCAAGAAAACAGCACCAGTGTTTTTTACCAACTTTAAAATTTGTAGCAAAAATCGGAGAAAAGTCACATCGTGAAAGCAAAACATGTCAGTTTTTAAAACTATATCGTCCGAAATTAAGCCTAGAATTTGTTTCAACTGACTATACAAGTCTATGAAACCGATTAGTTTATGATAAATTCCTTTCCAAGTAAATACTAGAAATACAAAAATGAAAAAACGTGATTGACAGTTTTTTACCATCTTTAAAATTTGCAGCTGATAAAAAAGGTCAAATCAATAGTTATTTAAAAATTTAATGACGACATTTTTTTTAAATCTCATATTCCTTTATTTAATTATAAATTTTTATATTTTAGTAATTATTACAAAATTTTCTCATGTAAACAAATTATTTATCATGTATTCGTAAATTTAACAAATATTTTTTAAAATTAACAGTTGTAATTTATCTAATATTTTAAAAAATATTAAATATTTTTTAACTAAACTATTATTTTAAAATTATTTTACATATAATAAAAACAAAAAATATATTAACATCATTTTAACTAAATTATTAAATTTATTATTTATTAATCTAAAATCAATAATTAAGATTATTCCATGTATAGTAAAGATAAAAAAATAGTAACATCTTTTAAAATTAAACTATTAATTTATTATTTATCAATTTGAAATTAACAATAAAAATTATTCTACATAAAAAAGGTACTAAACACTCTTAATTACAAAGTATGACAGATTTTATCATAAAAAAATCAGTCTCTTTTCATTTTTTAAAAATATTTTTTAAATTTTTATCATTTGAAATTTGCTTGAATTTTTAACTTTTATATTTTTAGTTACTAAAATAATAATAAAAAACTTAACAAAGAAATTTCATTCAAAATCTTGTAATAATTTTTGTGCACATACCATAATAAATTAATGCGTAGTCTAATCTTGTGGACTTGTTATCAAGAAAATGGATATTGATTAGAAATATGTTCATCATTTTGTCATGCAGTGACCTTGTGGTTTGATCTTTGAATTGCTTTTCCCCACGTTAAATTGAGCAGTCTTAAAATTATTTTGGAGTAATAATAGTTTTTTTTTAAAAATTACTGTTTCATGTAAACGTGCGCTTGCTTAAACGCTTGGGTTAAGTATTCAATAGCAGTAGCAACAGTTCATAGCTCCGATGGAGTCCGAAACACAGAGAGTACGTTCTTAGCTTTTCAATTTCCTAAACCTACTTTCAGTTCTCCAGCGTCTTGTTTGCAATGCATTTGCTTCTTCCAGTTATCCTAAGTTTCTTTGATTCCCACAGGAGGTAGAAGAAGGTGCAGAACATCTCTTCCGACGCTTGCAGCATTCCCCAGATGACGCCTCGATTCATTTTGATATTGTGTGCATTCGTTCTTGCTGTTTAATTTGTTCACACAGGTGCACTTTGGAATTTTTCACTAATAATTCACGCACGATGATTCAGGGTTTGTTTTTGTGGGAAAAAGGAGAAGAAGCAAAGGAAAAGGCTGCTGAACATTTTATTCTGTCGGCCAAATTAAACCCTAAAAATGGAGAATCTTTCAAATATTTGGGCCATTATTATGGGCGCGTTTCTCTTGATACTCAGAGAGCCATTAAGTGTTACCAACGAGCAGTTGCTCTTAATCCTGATGATTTCGAGTCTGGGGTAGGTATTCTCTGTTCCATTTTGAAGTTCAGTAATCGCTTTATCATTATGGAAAAAATGAAGTGGTAATTTGGCATTGTTTCTCTTGGCACTGAATTTTTTTCATATCAGGATTCTCTTTGCAATTTACTTGACCAAGCGGGAAAGGAGAGTTTGGAGGTTGTGGTATGCCGGGAAGCTTCTGAAATGTCACCGAGGGCTTTCTGGGCTTTCCGAAGATTGGGTTTCCTGCAGGTTTTTTCTTTCGGTTCCTTCTGCTTCTCTAGAATGCATTAAGGCAGAATCACAGTTACACCTTCTCTTCTGTAGATTACATCGTATGAATCTTCTTAGTGCACTTTGTAGACCTCCTTAATAACTGAATTCTACTGCATTTTCTTATCAAACTAGATCTAATAATCAGACTTTCAATCAAGTTATAATTCTTTCGACCTCTGTCTATATCCTCCGCTAATCTCTCTTTGATTATACTGGGTTGGCATCTGTCATTTATTGATTTTTATTAATTATTTAACAGGTTCATCAAAAGAAATGGTCTGAAGCTGTTCAGAGTCTTCAACATGCCATACGAGGCTATCCTACATGTGCTGATTTGTGGGAAGTAATTTCTCCTCTCTTTCCTTCCATCGGATTTGCCTTTCACAGTTTTTTTTTTTTTTTCCTTTTGGGTAAATATTTAAAATTTTGTTAGGCTTTGGGCCTTGCTTATCAGCGACTGGGCAGGTTTACTGCAGCTGTAAAGGTACCTCTCTGCTTGGATTCCTTTTATATCTTCTGGATGATTGATCCCTCAACCGCTGTGTTACTTATGGATTCTTCATCAGTCTTATGGCCGTGCAATTGAGTTGGATAATACAGTGGTCTTTGCTTTGGTTGAAAGTGGAAATATCTCTTTGGCTCTTGGTTCATTTAAAAAGGTACACTTTACTCATCATTATTTAGTTGTTATCCTGATGCCTTTCTTGTCCTGATTGCAAGCAATCATCCACCAGAGGGGAAAAGAAGAATGGTAGGGCCTTTAGTTTAGTGTTATCTGGCCCTACCTACCCCCTTGCTATGGATTTTTTTTTCTTCTGGTTATGGTAGAATTTATGCTTAGTTTTCTACATTTTTTAGAGAACTTAGGAATTGCATAAGACTGAATTTATAAATTACTTTGTCTCTAAATCCATACATGAAAAATCTGACAGTGTACTATATATACAACAAACATATGTTGTTCGAGTAGGCTTTATTTGGGAGTTAGTTTTTGAGGGGAAAGGGATCGAAGGGGAAGGTTGATTTGATCATAACCCTTGTTTGGAGTTTTTAGAGGAGAGGGGAAGATTTTATAAACCCTCCTCCCTTACCCTTCAAACCCTTTTTTCCCTTCCCACCAAACTCCCAAACAAAGCCTTAGTGTTCAGCTTTTTCTATTTATTAAAGATATGTGTAAATTGCCTTGGGGCTTTTCTACATGTAGGGAGTTGAACAATTTCGACAAGCTTTGGAGATTTCACCACATTGTGTGCCTGCACAATATGGACTTGCGTTGGGGCTGCTTGGTTTGGCAAAAGATTGCATTAACCTAGGAGCATATCAATGGGGGGCTTCACTGTTAGAGGTTTTTCTTTTCAAATTTATGTTTGATGTTTTTTCTGTTGTTTCTTATTAAGTTAAACGCTTCCAATTTGGCAACATTTAGGCAATGTCATTAAACTGACTGCAGGAAGCATCTGAGGTTGCAAGGTCAAGTGCTTATTCTTTTAGGAATATCTCATGTATTTGGAAACTGCATGCTGATATTCAGGTATCATTTGTTTTTTTCAGTCTTTAAATGTTTCCATTGAATTAAAAACTTCCTATTTTTAGGTATTACTTCTCATGGCAGTGCATCAAATTCTTGTCAACATGTTAATATGATCACATGGATTTTTTATTTTTCTTCACTGCTCATGTATTATTCAATGCTGGTCTTTTTGGGTCTGGCAGCTTACATATGCAAGATGCTATCCTTGGATTGAGGATCTCCAAGAATTGGAATCTAATAAGGAAGCTTTCAGTGCTTCTATCATTTCTTGGAGGAGGACCTGTTTTTTGGCTGCTATACGTGCAAGGTTTTCATATCAACGAGCTTTGTACCTGTCTCCATGGCAAGCAAACATCTATGCTGACATTGCTGTCACATCAGATCTTATTGCCTCATTGGACCAAAATTACAAGCAAGACTTAAAATCATGGTATTTTATGTGTAATGTAATTATTTTTTCTTGACTAGTGTGCTACCCTCAACTTAGTTGTTTAGCAGGCAACTGGCAGAGAAGATGTCTATGGGAGCCTTGCTACTTGAGGGTGACAATTATGAGTTCTGGCTGGCATTGGGATGTCTGTCTGATCATAATGCACTAAATCAACATGCTTTGATCAGAGGATTACAATTGAATGTATCTCTGGCTGTTGCTTGGGGATATCTTGGGAAGGTATTGTAATGCTTGTGTTTCATCAGCAAACCATAAAAACTCAACTTGATAATTTTCATTGTCATTACTGGTTGTTCTCATCAAATTGGTTTTCTGAGAAGTTGACATGGCAGAGAAAAGAAGGAACTTAATAGTAAGTTGTTAGGTACTGGCTTCTACTGATCATAGTTGTCAATTGGGAGCTCCCCCTAGCACTCCCTTGATTACCCATAGTGTCACACTTTGATGTCATGGTGGATGGCACAATTTGCAGCTGCTTTCATGCAAAATCACAACCATCCTGACTGCTATCTTGTCTGCATGCTTAAAGCCCATTTGGCCATATTTTTTTGCCATTTGAAGGTTTTTAAGGGGCGCAATCTTGGGATACTCCCTTTCCATATTAGATGTTCTGGAAATGAACATTGTCTTCTCTGTGCACCCCCAAACAGCAAAACGAACTGTAGATGCTATCAGTCAACATCCCTGGTTTTTCCTACTCTGTCTGGCTAGATTCACAATGACCCATGACTACCATTCAGAATCCAGCGTTGTTGACCATTTACATAGGTTTCACATATCGTCCATATTTATAGACTCTTGATAGATTTAGTAGAGACCATTACCTAGGATAATAATTATTAAGTGATGCAGCTTCTGATGGGAATTATAATTACTATTAGGAGCAGTCATGTATTATTAGAAATAAATGTAATATTAACTGTCATGTTGGCAGTTATTGGGAGAAATTAGGAGCAATAATATATTACTAGAACATGTGATAGAAATAGCTTATCCTACATTAATCGTTCCGTATTAGAATTAAAAACTGTCTTGATGACAGCTATTCATAGAAAATAACTTATAGCAGTTCTGTAGTTGGGTATTTTGGATAGTATGGTGTGTAGTTATGGGGTGTCTATGGATTATTATTTGTAGATTGTGGACACAGAATATTATCTGTAGGAAACTTTTGTCTCTGGGACAGCAAGTGTGTGATTACTGTATTCAGTAATATAGTTTCATTTATCTATTAGTGTTCTATCAGCTTCCAAGACACTAATACCCTTGAACATGAAATGCATTTTATGATGTGATACATGGATCTACTTTTTGCTAAGGACATTAACTACTACTATTTCCATTACTCCCTCTCAAGCTAAAGCTTACTAAGTGTTAAGTTTGCTACAAATAAATAAGTCTTTTATTTAAATAAAAAATAAAAAAGAAACACAAAATGAAGCATCATGTAGGTGAAAAGACATCAAACAAGGTGTAAGATCTGTTGGAGAGGTGAAGATCTACCAGACTTGATGTTGGATTGTTTGAACCTTCATTGCAAAATGAAAACAACTTATGAATGAGGGAAAAGCTGACATTGAAGTTAGAAATAAGCCAATCCAAAAAAGAATTGGGAAACCAGCAAGTAGCAACAACAACTAAGCCTTATCTCACTATTTGAGGTTATTACATGGATCAAATGACTTGATTGAGCTCGGTCAAAAACCAAATTTTTAGAAATCAGGTTAATTAAAAGGTCTCTTTTAATAACTTCGTCTAAGATTTTTTTGGATCTCCCTCGATCCCTCTTTATCGGACTAAGAATCATGTAAACTTCTTATTGGCACTTTCAAAGATCTTCTTTATACATGCCCAAACCACTTTAGACAATTTTCAGTCATCTTTTCTACTAAACTCTAAACAGGAATAAGAGAGAAAAGTTACTAAAAATCAGAACAGTTCCATACTTTTGGAACGTGACAGCAGAATTATAACAAGATAGATCACAGTGGATGGTACTACTTTGATAACATGTTGAATTTTGAGGGGGAGATTAAGAGAGAGAGAGACCATAATCTTTTAGAGTGAATTTAGAGAATGAAAATGCGCTGTGATTCTAGAGAATATGTAGAACATAGGTTCTATATTTCATCCATGCATGTAGACTCTTGATAGACTTAGTGGAGACAATTCCCTAGGATCATAATAATTAAGTGATGCAACTTCCTAGACACTAGTACCCATGAACACTAAATGCATTTTATCATGTGATACATTCAAATTTGAAATTTGAACGTACTATTTCCTAAGTACATTCAGTAATACTATTTCCAACACTTCTTAAAGGCATGACCTGCCTTATCTCATGCCTTCACTACTGTTTCAGTGGTAAATGAAGCAGCTGGTACTGGTCATTCTTTCAGAATCAACTCCTTCAATTTGTTTGCTAATCTAGCTGAGAACTCTTCTATACTTATAATCTCTTCACAGTCCACTTTGGCGGTTAAAACATAGTTCTCTCAAAACAGGTACTAAGATTCTTAATACCCATTTTTTTCTCCCCATGCTTCCAAATGCCTCATGTACTGCCTTTCGTTTTAGCCCTAATCACAGGCCCATTGTTTTTAATTTAAACCTATTTCTTTTGCTATCCCACCCATTTCTCCTAATTTATGAAGCACACTGATAGAACTGGTTCAATATAGATGGAAAGCAAAACAAACTGATTGTATTATTCACAAGAATGCCCCCTGATCAAGGTGACCAAGAGACAGAAAAAAATGCTGCAAATTTCACAGGGTATTCGAGAGACCCTGGACCCTCCCCACCCTTACAATAATCCTGTTCCGTTTCTTACCTTCTTTCCTATCATATTCTCTTTTATATACAATTTCTTACTAACCACCTCCAACTAGTTTAGTTAGTTGGGTTGTAATCCCCCACCCTTCTCCTAATCCTTTTAACGTACACTTGCTTTATTAATGGTTTACCATCACAGACACACTCTTTGTGCTTGTAGTATCAAAGTGTTGGACATATGCTCAACATCAACACATGTCAAGCACTTTCATAAGTGTCCACTTAAAATATACAAACTATCATTTTAGAGCTTTTCTTTATGGGGCTTAAATTTAATTCTATTATATATATATACTGGTGTTCCAATGTTCTATATTTTTCACAGTTGATAAACCTGACCTGTTTAAGCCTGCATCACAATTCACAAGCAAGTTCAGGTTGTGCCACCTGCATTAATACTCCCCCAAGTGCAAAACAATGTCATTTTGTATCAAGAAAAGGAAACTTAAATGCTTTTGTTTTCTTGAATCTTGTATAGACATAGTTACATGATTTTGTTGGTCAGTTTTATTTTAAAAAAATTCATTTATAAGATTGAAATTAAAAATTCGCTTCATTTAAGAATTTATTAACATAGTCAACATTTGTTTTAATTTGTTGGATTGGTTGTTGTTAGTGAGTTTTAATGTATTTGAATTTATACTAAATATGTTGGGTTGGATACGTTGATTTTTTTAAAGCAAAATATTATAAAAATTATAATGTAATCTTTATAAATATAGTATGTTAGAATGGACGTTTTTAACCAAAAAACTATGTAAATTGGCTGAAAAGCTAGCTGGGCTTAGGCTGCCATTTTAGAGGCCCGAATAACTCCAGTCTTAGAGTCCAACCCACATAACCCTGCTACCCGCATCAGGTTAGGCCAAGTCGAGTAGTCTGAACTGGCAGCTCTATTAAATATAAGTGGATGTCTATCCTAACTTATGCACGGTTTGTTAACATGCATCCACTATGCCTTCAGTACATTTTGTGATGTACTACATTGAATGAAATACATTGGAAATTGTTTGTGCTGATTTTTCAGCCTCTTTGTGTTTGTCTAATGTTTTTCAGCTGTATCGGAAAGAGGGTGAAAAGCAATTGGCAAAGCAAATGTTTGATCGAGCTAGAAGTATTGATCCTGGCCTTGCACTGCCATGGGCAAGCATGTCTGTCGAGTCTTGTGTGAGGTATAATTCAACTTCCACTATTTTGGCATTATCATGTTGCAGTAGCATGTGAATGGTAGTTTAGTCTATGTCAATTAGTTTATTGGTTTTTTAACTATATGATTTTTTTACATACTAGGGAACCTATTCCAGATGAGGCATTTGAGAGCTGCTCACGAGCTGTGCAGATAATGCCTGTAATTTACTAATTCTCATCAGTTAACATGCAATATGTTGGATTCTTTCTTAGTATTGTCCTACTGTTGGGATTTGGTGTTTATTTATCATCATTGTTTTACTCAAATATTAGTGTGTTAGTGTTATGAACCTAAAATGTAAAAGGAAGAAGCATTTTTCATTGATTTGAGTGAAAAGAACAGATAGTAGGAGATCTCTTCTAAGGGTTTCTCCTTCACAAAGTATTTTTCCTACCAGATTGAGCAAATGCTTAATCTACAAAATGATAGACAAAAGGAAGTTTCTCCCCTTACATTATCCTATTTATTTAACTAATCTCTTAACTAACTAACTATTTTATAAGTGGCCTGACTAATTGTTCTCATTCATTGCAATATCACCCCCTTGGCCTTAAACCTTGTTTTAATGTTGGAAATTTGCAAGACTTTTGTTAAGTAAATTACAAGGAACAGGGCTCCAAACCAAGATTAAGAGAAGCCCAAAGGAGCACAACATATAAGCTAACTCGAAAAAACAAAAAAGAACAGACAAACAGGTACAAGATACATCAATTGTACACCACTCAATCTGAGAGATATACACATACAGCTAAAATAATATTAGCTATAATCTAAGACAATTGAGTTTAATTGAAACACCTGAACCCTAGCAAAGGAACATGAGAGCAGACCTCACACACATACACCAACCTCTTGAGACATATATTTAGTTGCATATAATTTGACCATAATGACTTGACTTGATTTGATGCCTGTAATTTTAGCATAGAATTTATGACTTTAGCTGTATAAATAAGCCATCATTGTACCCCATAATACACCCAGAAATACATCCAGCATTTCCTATTTTTCCAAGTTGATATCAGAGGTCCTGATCTGGGAGTCTTTGTCCCTGAACCCTAAAAACCTGGCCACATTAATTGTGGTTTTTCACTTAATCTTTCTTGTTTCCAGCACCTTCATTGCACTTTCCTTTTAAATCAAAGTGCGCTTCATTGCACTAGAAAACTTGTACGCCATTTTCCAGCAACCTGCCTCCTTATTCTGATCAGCAACCATACTAGAGATGTGCCTCCCCAAGATTGGCCTAACCTTAAAAAGCACAAACCAAGAAACAGTTCTATGCATCCTCACATGCATTTCCAAATAGCAGTGCGTGAAAGCCGGGAGCTTCTATCTGGGCCTATGTTTGACCTCGAACCAGTCCAGACCCCAATACATTCTCCTATTTTTTTAACTGTATTCCCTTAAATCACTAAATAATTGTTATAACTGTCCTTACTCCTGACAGTGAAGGGGATTTTCCTCTCAATACTTGTTTCATTGATTTATTCAACATATTATTTTTTCCAATTAATTTCTTATGGTGTATGTTAAATTGTGATTCCTTTCTTTAAAATATTTATTGATTCCTGTGCAGTTAGCTGAATTCCAACTTGGGCTTGCCAAGCTTGCTTTGTTGAGTGGACATCTCTCATCTTCGCAGGTTTGATTATATTTTAGATTAGTGATTTGCTGTAGTGATGCCTCTTTTAAAGCACCTGCATACCTTGAAATTGATGTCAATGTTCCATTTACTCATCATAGGTTTTTGGAGCTATTCAGCAAGCTGCGCAGCATTCTCCTCAATATCCTGAAACCCATAATTTACATGGGCTGGTTTGTGAGGCTCGAAAAGATTATAAGTCTGCTGCTACTTTTTATAGGTTAGCACGTCATGCAATTAACATTAGCTCATGCAGTATTCAAAACTCATACATCAGGGATATCTCAATCAATTTGGCCAGATCACTTTCTAAGGTAAATATACTTGAGATCTCTTAGTCTTGTATTTCTTAAACACCTTAATGATGTGCACTACTCATACTATTTGATACAGGCAGGTAATGCTGCTGACGCTTTGCAAGAATGTGAAAGTTTGAAGAAAGAAGCCTCAGGTTCATATTTTGTAATTCACCTGTTATAATTCTTCAGTTTAATTGTTTTATATTTGAAAATTCAAAGCCTTCTTGTTAATGTGAAATCATTCTATTGCTAACATTATACTTAATTCATGATAAGTGTTCTTACTGTTTTTTGTTCATAATTCATAAGAATGAACTATAAATGAATGAAGTTGTGTATTTAGTGTTTACTGCCAAATGTAAAGCATGTGATTTAGGGATGTTTTGGTTTGTTTTATAGCCTGTGATTTTATGTTAAGCATGTTTTGGTTGAAAATGGTGGGAAAAATTACTTGAATTTTTCATGTCTTGTTAACACTATTGTATGATTGTTTTTTAAGGTGCTCTTGATGAAGAAGGCTTACAAGTATATGCTTTCACATTGTGGCAACTTGGTGAAAGTGATTTGGCTCTCTCTGTAGTTAGAAGTCTCATTGGAACTCTATCTTCTCTGGAAACGACATCTGTGGCAACATCCATTTGTTTCATTTGTAGATTGCTACACTACATATGTGGACTTGATGAAGTCATCACTAGCATTGTGAAAATGCCAAAGGAGTTATTTCAAAGTTCAAAAGCTAGTTTTGTTGTGTCAGCTATCAATGCACTTGATGGACAAAATCGTCTTGGATTTGTTGTCTCCAGTAGCCAATATTTTCTCAAATATCATGAAGAAATGGCTGGGATGCACTTATTAATAGCCCTTAGTAAACTGGTATTCTTTTTGCCTCTTAATTTTGATTCCTCCCATCTCCTTTGTTCCCCCTACAAATGATCAAAATGAAGACAAGATGGAAAAATGTTGTGGTGTGGTTTGGACAGGTGAAAAATGAGTCTAGGAACTGCCTTGACATTCAGAGTGGAGTTGCCCACCTCAGAAAAGCTATGCACATGTTCCCTAACTGTAATTTGATAAGGTAGACTTTTTATGACAAGATCAGTATTCTAATGGTAATTTCATTTAATAGATTATACGTTTTAATTAATAATTTAGTTGTTGCATGTTTACTCAATTTTAATATGGTCCACATGTTAAGGAATTATAGGTTTAGGGTCAGCAAAGAAGGTTCAGACTAATAAAACTGAAAACAAATTGACACGATGTATCTCTCCTTTCTTTTTTAATCTTTCTTTCATTTTATTTTGTCTAAACCCTATACTCTATCTCATTTGTTTTTTCTCTTTTTATCTTGTGGTGAAGATCTATTTCCATCCAACAACTTGATTATCTTGGGCAGAGTGTAATTGTCATTTAATGTTGCCATTTCCTCTGGGACAGCAGCTTTCCATCTATCTTTCTATCTCATCTCTTTTCCCTTTTGATCTTGTGGGGTATATCTATATGCACCCAACTTGCTTTTATTTGGAAGAGTAATAATTTTCATTTATTGCTGCCATTTCCTCTAGGACAACAGATTTCTAACTTTGATCTTGTAGAGCTTCATAGACCATAGTGGAAATCTTTACATGGTCAATTCAACAATAAAGCTCTGAATCTTGATGGCAAGTTAGAATATGTAACTGCACTTGATATAACATTTTGAGTCCAGGACCTAAATCTTTTTCTTAAGACAATGAGGTGATAGGGATGGTAGTTGGACTCAAACTTAATTACCCACAATGAGTTGGGGTTTTACTCATCAGCTAGGTTTGAGTCTAAGAGTGGTTAATCATTATAAGCACCATAGTACCTAAGCCACCCCATTCCTGCCCTGCTCCTTTCTATATATAATAAATATAGTTATATAATTATGTGTTTGTTATATGTAGAACACTAGCTAGGGTATGAAAGATCTTTTGATATTTTTTTAATCGAATTATATGTTTTGCTTTCAATTGATAGATTTTATTTTATTATTTTTTATAATTAATTTTCATATAACAACAAAGTTTTATTCTCCTAGATAAGGCCAGCTACAAGGATCACAGGCCACTGGTCTTGATCCAAAATTAAATTTTCAAAAATATTACTTATTATTATATATCTTTTGCCAATTTTCTCCAAATTTCTTTTTTGTCTTCCTTTATTATTTATCATAGGACTGGTGCCTTTAGTAGTCTTCTTTGCATGTATTCAAACAACTTAAAGAACTGAGATTTTGGGAGGTCACACAAATGACACTTATTTGTGATAATTAGTCTTGCATATTGCCTCAAATCTAGTATTCTACGAAAGAACAAAACACATTGAGGTCAATTGTCACTTCATTTGTAAGATCTTGTCCAGAGTCATCACAACAAACTATGTCTATTTAAATGATCAACTAGCAGATATATTAACCAAGTCTTTAAGAGGTTCCTGTATTAAGTATATATGTAACAAGTTTGGTACATATAATTTATATGCTCCAGCTTGAAGGAGAGTGCTAAATTTGTGTAAATATGTTAATTAGGAAAATTAGTATCTTTATAATTATAGTAATTAGGTAACTGTATATTTTGTAATTACTTTGTAATCATTTTTTATATTATTATTATATAAATATTCAGCCTGTTGTGTAGTTGAGACACACATATTCTATTAATGCTCTTTCATTTTTCCTTCTCTTAACGATAAATATAGCTCTCCTATCTCTCTTTGATATATTCATTTGTGGTCAAAGATTTTTCTTTGAAGCATCTTATTTGATCTAAATCTCTTGTTTTCATTTCCTTATTTTTGGCAAGCTTATATATTTTCTGTTCTCCATTCTTTGTCCCTAAATTTTAGTAAAACACCTCAATAGCCTTAGATTGTGCTGCACTCAACTTTTCCTATCTCATTTCTAGGCTTCTAGCATACTGATACATTGCCTAATTTTTCACATTATTGTATCCTTGTAATGCTTTAAAGCACTTCTTGTCTCTAACCTTTTCTTGTATATTTTCATCCCACCACCAAGATTCATTATTTCTCAGACCAAAACTTGTATATTCACCCAATGTAACTTTAGCAACTCTCTTACCTTGTTCACATCTCATTTCAAATGAGGTTAGTACCTAGTAGTAGTACCACCTTGTGTTTCCAATTATCTTCTAATACTTTTTTTCTTAAAATCCAATTGTTTATCACCTTTGAGTTGTTACCACTTGATTTCTCGATCCATAACTTTTCAGGTTCTCTGTTTGCCACTATTAAGTATTAAAATGAACATTAAGGATCAAGACGGAATGCTGTGTAGTTAGGTAGAATGACAGCAATTTTTTATTTGCAGTTAGCAATGGCATATATTAGACCTGTATGGTAGTAGTTTGCAAAACTATGTAATCTATCGCCCCTACCCCTGCCCTCTCCTTTCCCATTTATATGACATGTAAGCAGTGTTGTTAAATGGCGGCCATGGCGGAATTCGGTGGCGGTTTTTGACCCCGCCGTTACAGCGTTACCGTTTTCTGGCCTTTTTCAATGGCGGCGCCATGGCGGAAAATGTAAAAAAATGGTGTTTTTGTGGGAAAAATTGAGTTGGGCCATTGATTGGACCTGCTCCGAAAAGATAATCCGTGAGCCCAAACCCTAAATCACATATTTTCTTCCTTTCTTCATTGCTGTTGTGCCGCAATGGAGCGTCGGTTGGCTGTTGTGCCGCTATGGAGTGGCGGTCCGCCACCTGCTGCTGCTGTGAAGTATTTCTTCGCAGGGGTTAAGCCCTAGTTGTAGTGTCTTGGTGTGCGTGTTGAAGTGTAATAGAGAAAGAGAGCGAAATTCCAATCTTGCCCTTGTTTTATGTATTTTAGGGTTTTTTAAGGGCAAAATAGATAGCGAAATTCCAATCTTGTCCTTGTTTTATGTATTTTAGGGTTTTTTAAGGGCAAAATAGACTCTTTCCACTTAAAATTTTTGGGGTTTACCTTCTCTTCTCAAGCGGTCAATTTTCTGAAGGGTAAAATATTTAGGGTTCTCTACACTTTTTTTCTTCCTTCTTCTCTAAAGCCATTTTCTCCTTCACCATTTTCGCCGGAGAAGACATCCTTTCCGGCTGTTTTCCGGCAACTGTGAATGGAAGGCCCTATTTTCCGAAGTCCATTTTCTATTTTGTGTCTCTGGACTCTGCCCCTCTTTCTTAGTTTTTTCCTCTCCTGTTTTTTTTTTCAGTTCTGTTTTTCCCTCTCCCACTCTGTTTTACTCTCCCATTTTTTTTGTTTTTCCTTATTATTTTGTTTTCTTGATTCTATTTTTCTGTTTTCACTTCCAAGTTTCCTTCTCCATATTTATTTTAATTCTCTACTTTTCTGTTATAACTTCAGCTTATTATTCCCTCTTTCTTAGTTTTTCCCTCTCCTATTTTTTTTTTTTTTCAGTTCTGTTTTTCCTTCTCCCATTCTGTTTTACTCTCCCATTTTTTTCGTTTTTCCTTATTATTTTGTTTTCTTGATTCTATTTTTCTGTTTTCACTTCCAAGTTTCCTTCTCCATATTTATTTTAATTCTCTACTTTCCTTTTATAACTTCAGTTTTTTTTTCACTATTGTACAACCATTTTATTCTTTTTTTCTCAAAACCTTCTTTTTATATGTAGTTAGTTTTCTAATTTTATATCACATTTTGCAATATATATGACCGCCATTATTCCGCCATAACCCGCCATGGCATCCGCCATAATTTTATGGCAGTTTTTTTGTTTTCCGCCATGACCCGCCATCTGCCATTGATAACATTGCATGTAAGTTAGCAATAGAAGAAAAGATAAATAACTCTCCCAAACTTCTAAAGTCTACTAAACACACCGAACCTCCCAATTGTGTAGAAATAAGTCTTTGTTGGTGTTGTATCTCTGCCTCAATTTTTAATCATGTTAATACAATCTTGCTAGCTTTGTTTGAGGTTGACTGACATCTTTCTATTGCACATTTCTCTGGGAACAGGAACTTTCTTGGCTACCTCTTGCTATCCAGTAAAGAGTTTAACAATTGTCATGTTGCAACAAGTTGTTGTAAACTGGACCATCTTGATCTTTCTGATCAAGAAGGTTTAAAATCAGCTTTTGATATCTATGGTGCTGGAGCAGTTGCTTGCTATACCAATGGCAACATCAATCCAAAGTTTACTTTTCCAACTTGTATAAAGCGATGTTCTAATCATACTGGAGCTGTCAGATACCTGCAGAAGTACTATTTTATTTTCCTTTATGCCAGTAATAGCCCCAGAAATTTAATCCTATATTGCTACTGTTTAAATTCTCCCAAGTTAGGATATGCATATATCACTGCTAGATCAATTTGATTCTTGTTATGTGGGGAAATATTTCTTGGGGTCAATTTGAGTACAAGAATTGTCGTTTTCTGTTCTTGGGAATATACATCTGAGAGATTTTGTCACCAATCTGATGGCTCTATTTAAGATATCTAAGCAAAATTATCCCTAGGACAATAATAATCATGCTCCATTTCTCTCTTCAAAATTGCAGATGCTTTCATCAAAAACCATGGAATCATGATGCCCGCTACTTGCTTGTTCTTAACTATCATCAGAGGGCATGTGAACAAAGATTTCCTCCTCATCTTTGTGGTATACTAAATCGTCTAACTCATGTTGCTCTTTCAAATGAATTGTACAGCAAGACAGAAATGTTTTATCAATATAGACACTTCCAACTTCTACTTTGTGCTTCTGAGATCAGTTTACAACGTGGGAATCATATGACCTGTATAACCCATGCCAAAAAGGCTTCTGAGCTTGTTCTTCCTGATGATTATTTATTCTTTGCACATCTATTATTGTGCCGTGTCTATGCCATGAAAGGTGATTGTCTAAGTTTTCAGAAAGAGTATCTAAGGTGTTTAGAGCTTTGGACAGATTATCCCATTGGTTGGATCTGTCTCAAACTTATGGAATGTCAACATGAACTGCAAATTGATTCAAATGCCATAGATTTAAACTTCAGAGAATGTGTTAAAAGGAGTGGAAATTCGTGGAATATGTGGATGGCTGTATATAACCTGGTGAGAGGTATGATTTCCTTGCAGAAGAGGGATTTAGTCTTAGCTGAAGAGTTCATGGCACAGGCTTGTTCATTGGCTGGTTTTGAAAGCTGCTTCTTTCTATGTCATGGTATGTATTTTGGGTGAGAGCTTCATTTAACTCTTTTCGCATGATTTCTGCATAGTGTAACATACCACTTGATACACTTAAGACAATTACTTGACACCAAGTAGCTTTTTGAGGGTAAAGAAAAAGCTGTTAAGGATATGCTTCAGAAGAAAATCTGGAAATTAATGATCAACATTCTTGTTTTATAAATAATGCTTGACAAGTCCCCCCCCCCCCTCTCAACACACACACACACACACACAAAAATCCTTTAATCTGAATAGAACACATTAATCTCTGATTTATTTTGTTTTTATATGCATTGTGTTGATTCTTTCAAGTTTCAATTGGCAGCTAGTTATCTCTAGATCCTGTTTTCCCTCGTCTCTTCTCACAATACATCAAGATGAATTCATACATTAATGTCCATCTGATCATATTCTTTCTTTATGTAGCCACCATCTGTATGGAGCTTGTCAGGCAGTACAATGGTTTTCAGTTCGTATCACGAGCCATTGAGAGTCTCACCAAAGTTCATGAACTTTCACTGATTCCCTTACCCTTTGCCTCATTATTGGTAGCACAAGCAGAAGGAAGCCTTGGTTCTAAGGAGAGGTGGAACAAAAACCTTCACCTCGAATGGTATAATTGGCCATCAGGTTTGATTTCTGTTCTCTGTCTGTGTGTATAAGTGTTGGGGAATGAATTACTGGAGTGCTAATGTATATCAGTTTCTGTTTATGTTCATGTGTTCCATATAAAAGACTGTCACTATCCTTGTGTGCTAGGGTGTGTGTCAAACAAGTTTTACAGGATTATTACTCTCAACTTGTACAAATTAATCAAACTGTTATCAGACAGTGCAAGTTTGAGTAGGCATGCTTTGTTATTTTTCAATTTGTCCCCAGCCGATCAGTAAAATCTGATACAGTATTTGAAATTGGTGTTTGTTTGTATTCATTGATTGGTAAATTTTGTGGTTGAACTGTCTAATGTCTTATTTGTAGAAATGAGGCCGGCAGAGCTCTACTTTCAAATGCATTTGCTTGCAAGACAGTTGAAAGTCGGCCCAAGCACTACATCTAACATAGTGTCCAGTCAGAGTCCTCTGAGATGGGTTATTCGGGCAATCCACGTGAACCCTTCTTGCATGCGATATTGGAGGGTTTTACAGAAGCTTATGGAATAGGCTTAAAATGCAAAGCAACACATTTCAGTATCGGAGTGTCAACGAGTAATCGGCTTCTTACGGGATGGGAAATAGCTGTGGAATAGACTTTAAAACGTTTCATATCTGCTGAATTTGGGATGGTAAATAGCTAAACAAGTCCTTTTTCAGGTAAAATTGTAAGTGGAAATATTGAATGCTGATTTCGTACACGGACCAAATCAGAGTTAATTGAAACCGTTTGATACATCAATACACTTGTGTACTGGAAAGAATCATGAGTAAAAAGTGCATGTTATTTTGGGGGAGGGCGGGAGGTTACTAGTGTGAAATCAAATTGATTAGTCGTCGTGCACAGAAATCATGCATGAAGAAAAGTTAAGGAGTGCGTTGAAAGAATTAGCTAAAGAGTATATAATTTTTTTATTGATATATTTAATTAATTATTTGAAAATATACTTAATATTGTATAATTTTTTAAATGTTTTATTTTTAGTAAAACAAGTTTATTCTAAACGGGCCACTTTGCCTCATTTAAGTTGATCCATTATATGTTGACATAATGAATCAACATGATTCATTTTCGTGGTGAATCAGGAAAACGATAATTTTGATCAAAAGCTTTTAATAAAGGTTTACTTAAACTTTTAAAAGACAAGTTTTCTTTAGTGTCATAGGAGGTTATGACGTAATAATATAGGAATTTGTTAATAAACACTTTTATAGTATTACAAGAAAATAAAAAATAAAATAAAATACTATTTACTAATATTGAATATAAAAATATGTAACGATGTTTGAATGAATTATATTTAATATTTTTGAAAGGATAAATCCTGCAAGGAATGGAATGAAATATATACTCCTAATTATTTACTTTTAATGCTTATAAAAGATTGGATTTGAATTCTTTCTCGTTGTAACAAGGGCTTAATATTTAATTTTATTTTTAAAATATGACAAAAAAATTTCTTTAAGTGATTTTAGAATTTATTTAAACATATTTCATTTTTTTTTTTCCAAGTGAGCGTGGATGGGGATGGGTGCGTGTGGGAGAGTAAGAAGGAAAATGAGTGGTGGAATTGGTTATGGGGGATGGAGGGTGAAGGGTGGGGGAAGGTGAGCAAAAAGACAGCTGAAGTTGGGAAGAGAGAGAGGAAGGGGATGCATAGCTTTCGTGGTAATGGAAGAAAATCTGGATTCTAAAAGACAAGGGTTCTTGTTCATGTATATTTGAAAGAGAATTAAGTTATAAGTGATAGCTCATTTATGCCTCATTTTATATTTTATGTATTTGTTATTGAATATGTATGTGTGTGTGTGTTTAGGGTTTAACATAATAATTACTTTGACCTAAGAGTGCAATAACCATTTTAAGTACTAGCCCAAAGCAATTGTAATAAAAAACTTGAAGAAAAAGCAATAAAGAAAGACAAAATGAACGAATTTTCTCACAAAAAGTACAATAAGCATAATGCAGGTCTAAAACATTGGAAACAAGATTGTATTTTTCCAAAAACTGGATAGAATCTAAGTTGTCAATTGTAAAGATGCATAAGTTAGAACTCTCATACCTGATGAGAAGCAAAAGCTGGATATAATCGAAGTTGTCCATTGTAAAAGTGCATAAGTTGAAACTCATGAGAGTGTCCAACTTCTAGCACACTAATTCCAATAACAAGCAACAAAATAGAATTTGTTGTCTACTAAAGAAGAAATATATGCTCCTTCTCATAATAGCATGTTTTGGTTAAGACTTGGAACTTGACACTCCACGTCTGATTAAAATTGTACTATTATTTTATATATATGTAATAAATATTTTTTTTTTATTGTATTCATACGAACAAGCATAAATAAAGGTCAATTGTGTACTAAGGACATCAAGCTATAAACATGTTAATTCAATAACATTGCTTGCTTGTTTGTTCATTTTATTCTTTTCTTCTTCTAATACTTCTTAAGCTTATAAATTTTGTTTATTAATTTTTATCCTAAACAATTGGCGACTCCATTAAAGAAGTATAAAGCTTGTAAAAAAAGAATGATAGAAAGAGCTATCACATACAAATAATTATCTTCACAATACGATAAGAGCAAGGTGCCTCACTAAAATATCTTAATAATGGTAGAGATGAAGCTGACCTTCTGGGCTAGCTCGAGATACCTTTGCCAACTTCTAACATGCCCTCATTGTTGATCTTGGCATCAGTGCTCAATACAATTATGGCCAACCAACAGTGCCTCGCACACTTGGTTACACACATGAAGGTGAGCAACATATTCCATCATTATTCCTTAGAGAGAATACAACATAACACTCCAAGCAAAAAATATTCCATTATCAATTATGCAATAGTGACATATGGACAATTTCAACAACTCCTGCAAGGTTGCAAAGGAACAAACAACATGATCGGAAGACATGGAACCACCATTGACTTCAGACATAGCCCTTACACCTTACCCAACAAGGTATTGGTAGCCTACATTCTAAAACCTTGATGGCTCAGGAAGCGCGCATGAATGTGCTATGACTTGAATAATTTAGAGGTACATGAGGAGACAAATTATTACGATTGAAAGAGATGGTGATTTACTCTGGGACATGTAAAGCAAAAAGCTGGAGAAAGGCTGATTACTTTCATTAAAAGGTTGATCCAACAACATTGCCCACAATAAGTGCTTCAAAACTAAATTTTCTATGGCTTGTGTGCAAATCCAAGATCATGTAAGATGTGTTTTGTAACACCTATAGATTCATGCTAGTAAATTTTTAATTCATAAAAGGAATTAGAGAATTTTATGGGTAATTTTCTTTTCTTTTCTTTCTTATCTCTTCCTCCTACTACTTTTGATTTACTTGATTGATGTTTTATTATGTATGTGGATTGAACTATGAGTGAGACCGTAGACTTTTAGTGACACTTAGACAATAACCTTAACTTTTGAAAATATTTCCTTTAAGTGCAACTCCATGATTATTTCAAATGTTTTAAATATTACATCTCTGGTCCTATTATTATTCATATTATTTTACTTAGCATATTATTTATTGCATTGTATTAAATTTTAATTTATTTTAAAGTTTAAAATATCATATGAAGTCAAATATATTAAATTTAAATCAAATTTTAAAATATTACAATATCAATCAATCTTAATTTAAGTTGTATTTAAAAATATTTTTATGTCATCATAATTTCTTTCTTAATTTTAAAAAGCGTGTCTTTTTAATTTATCCTTATTATTATTTATTATTAATAAAAATATTGAATTTTAAAATTATAAAATTATAAAAAATGAAATCTACTTTAAACTCTTATTCAAAAAATATTTTAATTTAACTATACTTCTTAAAAATTTACTAATTATTTCTAACCTTGATTAGACTTAAAATAATTAATTATTAAAAATAAAAAATTCATGATTTTGTATACAAATTTTAGAAACAAAAAAAATATTTTTAATTAAAAATAAAATAAACATATTTTAAAAAAGCAAACAACTCCTAATCTTTTTGTATCAAAACAGAGTTTTATTGTAAATTTAATGGATATTTGGTTTTTCAAAAAGACAAGAAAAATGTTTCCAAGAGTAGTGAAAACTGGTGTTCTCCGGATTAATGGTTGGAGCTCGTGAAAATGATAATCTCCAAGAGAGTTTGCAGTGGAAGCCAGGCTTCGAAATAATTGAGTATAATTTAAAGTGGGTGCTTAATCCGTTCCTATGCAAGCGAAAAGAGGGTTCGCATGCTTTGGATCGCTCTCAAAAAATGCATTTATCGTGGCCTCACAGGAAGAGATCTACTCGAATCTATTGCGAGGATATGCGCAAGACTCAAACTTGTTGTGTGGAAGAGCAACTCACGCTAAATTGATCATAGGGTCTATTCCTTTAACTGTTTTTCTTCAAAACCATTTGCTGAACATGTACGTAAAATTGGGAGACCTTCCTTCGGGTCTCAAAATGTTTGACGAAATGCCCCAAAGGAATGCGGTTTCCTGGTCCGCTGCAATGGCTGGTTGCATCCAAAATGGCTGCGCTTCCGAGGCCCTTTATTTATTCAGGCGTATGCATTCCGAGGGCCTCACAAAACCAAATGAGTTCACGTTTGTGAGTGCTCTTCAGGCGTGCTCTTTAACCCAGAATGTGACTCTGCCTTACCAGATTTATTCATTGGTTGTGCGGTCAGGATTTATCTCTAATGTCTTCTTACTGAACGCCTTTTTGGCTGCCTTAGTGAGGCATGGCGAATTGACCCAAGCCTTTCAAGTTTTTCAGACAAGTCCAGGCAAGGATATTGTGTCATGGAATACCATAATAGGTGGTTACTTGCAGTTTTCTTGTGAGCAGATTCCTCAATTTTGGTGTTGCATGAATCGAGAAGGCATGAAACCTGATAACTTCACATTTTCCACCGCCCTCACTGGGTTGGCTGCTCTTTCTTATCTTGAAATGGGAACGCAACTTCATGCACACCTTGTCAAGAGTGGCTATGGGGATGACATTTGTGTGGGGAACTCACTAGCTGATTTGTATATAAAAAATCACAAGTTAGTAGAGGGTTTCAGAGCTTTTCACGAGATGCCTAACAAAGATGTGTGCTCTTGGTCCCAGATGGCTGCCGGATGTTTACACTGCGGGGAACCCAGAAAGGCACTCACAGTCATTGCACAGATGAACAAAATGGGCGTGGAGCCAAATAAGTTTACCTTGGCCACTGCCCTAAATGCTTGTGCCAGTTTGGCTTCCCTGGAGGAAGGGAAACAAATTCATGGCTTGAGGATCACACTTGAAAGGGACATTGATATTTGCGTTGATAATGCTCTTCTCGACATGTATGCAAAATGTGGATGCATGGATAGTGCATGGGGTCTTTTTCGATCAATGAATTCTCTTTCTGTCATCTCGTGGACAACAATGATAATGGCATGTGCACAGAATGGCCAATCCAGAGAAGCTCTTCAAATTTTTGATGAAATGAGGGAGACGAGTGTAGTGCCAAATCACATCACTTTCGTTTGTGTTCTTTATGCATGTAGTCAAGGTGGGTTTGTTGATGAAGGGTGGAACTACTTTTCTTCCATGACAAAAGACTATGGAATCTTCCCTGGAGATGATCACTATGCTTGTATGGTGAATATCCTTGGTCGGGCTGGACTTATCAAAGAAGCCAAGGAGTTAATCCTAAGAATGCCGTTTCAGCCGGGTGTGCTAGTTTGGCAAACATTGCTCAGTGCATGTAAAGCTCACGGGGATGTGGAAACTGGGAAACTTGCAGCAGAACATGCCATACGACAAGACCACAAAGACCCATCAACCTATTTATTATTGTCTAACATGTTTGCTGAATTTAGCAATTGGGATGGCGTGGTGATTCTGAGAGAACTAATGGAGACAAGAGATGTAAAGAAAGTACCAGGATCCAGTTGGATTTAAAAATCCAAAAGCTTTAACAGAAATATATTTAAATATCGGTCTGCGTTTCGCTTGCACTACACTTCTTTTCCACAAGTCCACATCCGGTGAAAGAAGTAGTTTTAGCCCATTTTTTGGATTTTTTTAAGGTGAAATATCTACTTTTTTTTTTTTAAATTGCATAAGGAATTGATAAAAATGATTTATTATTTTTTTATAATAAATTAAACCAAACATATTTTATTTTTGCACTAGAAAGTAGAGGTTATAAAAATAATTTCAAATATCAATTGAAGTTTTAAGAGGCACTTTGATTATACACTTGATTTTGCAAAATTCTTGGTGAAATTCGAGATTTTATTGCTATTTTGCATACATCTTTTTCTTTCTTTCGTTTGATATTAAAGAGTTTAATAAATTTAAATAAATACACAAATTTTCGATGTCTAAACGAAGAATGAGTGAATTTTATTGCTTTTATAAATTCATTTGTTTCAAAGTTATATAATTAATTCTTATATTTTAATCAAGAGGTGTGATTTAGATTAAAGTATCCATCAATCATATTCAACAGATCAATTTATTCAAAAATAATTTCATTAAATTTTTAATCAAATAAACATTATCTTTTCAAAACAATTTTTCATGTTAAAAAAATGGATGCATGCATGTCTCCATTTAACAAAGTCATATTTATGCTGGAAAATACCATATTGCATATAGGGATTATAGTTGTACGAAAATTCAATAATGGCAGAAAAAAAGAAAATACTTATGATGAAGAGAAAAAATGACCTACTAAATAAACCTGGGTCCAAATACTTATTTTTCAAAACTGTATCAAATAATGTTACGTACTTATTTCTCAAAACTGTATTAAATAATCTTATGTAACATAAAAAAAATGAATAAAGTAATAAATAATAATTAAAAGTGAAATATACACGCGTTGGTTCAATGTGAACAATGGTGTTGTTACAACTCACGGAGGTTTGCTGACAAAAACATAATCTTAGTGAGACAACAATCTATCAATATATCTAATCTAAAATTCACTATAAACTATTATGTAATGCTTTACCTAACTTTGTTATATATGCGTTTAAATTATAATTCATTTATGATTATCAAAATTCATAAAAGTCATCGCCATATGTTATGAAGCATTGGCGCGTATGCAGGATCCTATATATGGTTGTGTCGCTCCTATCTATGCATTGCAGCAACAGGTTCTTTGACCACAGAAACTTGCTATATCACACACCATAATTATGTAAATTGTGCTTCATATATATAACTTCAATTTAACCTTGCTATGAGCAAGTTGCTAGCCTGCAAGAGGAGATAGGTATTCTAAGAAACGTAATGCAGAACCCCACAGTTGGTGTTGATAATTGTTCAAGTGGACTGGTGAACCCAAACAACGGGTTAGAATATGTTTTTACACAAAATGGCACAAGGATACAATCACATCAAAATCATTTGGCTAATATGTTTTCTGAAGAAGGAAGTGCGACAGATTACCAAAGCTTGGACAGAGAGATGAATAGAGAGTTTCCTAATGCAAATGAATTGGAAGACCACTTAGATCCCAACCCATCAGAGAAGTTTCTGTCTGGAATTGACCAGGAGTTCTTCCTGAATCATCCATGGTTCAAGCATAGTAATGGCATAATAAGTTGGGAATATCTGAGTTGTAACAAAACTTGTGCTTATCTCACTTGTGCAAGATTGCAAAAAATAATCATCTGTTGGGTATGGCTTAGTGTTTATCAAATCTCCCTTTAAACATAATTGTCAGGTTTGATGACTAAAATGGTGGTGCATGTATTTATTTTGTCAAAAAAGTATAAAATAAATAAAATTAATATCATAAAATAAATAAATTTTTATATTAAATATGCAATTACTATTTTTCCTAAAATTTTATTTGAAAAACATAAAAATGATGAAAATTAATTAAACTTAATTTATAAAAATGGATTTAAAAGTAAAAAATAGAACTACTATGATAAACAAATACAGATTAATGGATTTTGTAATTAATAATATTTTTTAAAAATGCTGACAATTGATTAGACATATTTTATAAAAATTATTAAAATTTATAATAAATTGTAAATAATATGATAAAATAAATGAAAACTAATATAAAAGAAAGATACGCAAAAAAAAAAAAAACTTTATAAAATGCTTAATTATATATTACATATAAATTGATAAAAAGTAATTTTTAAATTTTTATTTAAAATCTTTTGACAAAGTTAATTTAAACAAAAAATATATGTGTCCTATTTTTATTTTTTGATTTATATAATTATTTATCAATTATTATATTTTAAATGTATTTTTTTTTACAAAATAATTTAAAAAAACAATATATCTGTCTATATATTTATATATAATTTACTAAAGATTATTCTTCAGTGATCCAAATATTTAAAATTAAAAGAACCTTATTATGTATAAAGCTAAATTATAAAACAAGTAATGTGTATCAACTAAAAAGTATATATTAATTAAGTAACTAATAATAATAAAATTTTAATAAAAAATATTTATTATATTTTTATAAATTTAATATATTAAATAATTTTTTATAAATACTTAAACTCAATTATAAAGATTAACTTGAGCAAAATCATTAAAAATAAACAATTCTAACCATACTTAAGTCTAAGATGATTGAGAGAAAAAAAGGGACCAGGGGCTGAATAATAATTACATAAAATTTGATCAGTATATAAATTATAGGCAATAGATGACAACCGTTGGATGAATGAGTAATCTTGCGGTGTGATATAGGAAGGTGGTAGCATGATATTTATAAGTCATGAGAATGAACCCAAGTTTGCCCTAATTTGATAGTTGGAAGTGGGGAGCAGAGAGAAGGAGGAGCATGAGGCCGATTTTGATGAAGGGCCATGAGAGGCCATTAACGTTCCTCAAATACAACAGGGACGGTGATCTCCTATTCTCCTGCGCTAAGGACCACAACCCTACGGTGTGGTTTGCCGACAACGGTGAACGATTGGGCACTTATCGAGGCCACAATGGAGCCGTTTGGTGCTGCGATGTCTCAAGCAAGTTCTTTACTAATTTTGATTTTCCGTTTTCTTATGTATTATAATGTTGACAGTGATGCTGATAGAGTGATGGTTGATGATGCAGGAGATTCGCGTCGACTCATAACGGGTAGCGCGGATCAGACAGCCAAGCTATGGAATGTGCAAACTGGTCAACAATTGTACACTTTCAATTTTGATTCCCCAGCTAGGTCTGTTGATTTCGCCGTCGGTGATAAGCTTGTTGTTATCACCACTGACCCCTTTATGGAATTGCCTTCTGCGATCCATGTCAAACGCATTGCTAAAGATTCCACCGATCGTATGCCCTTTCTCATTACTCATTTTGTTTCCTCACTCACATAACCTCTGGCTATTTCTAATGCTTCCGTTTCGCAGAGACCGGGGAATCTCTGCTTGCCATTAAGGGCCCTCAGGGAAGAATAAACAGAGCCATTTGGGGACCCCTCAACAATACCATTATTAGTGCCGGTGAAGATGCTGTCATTCGCATTTGGGATTCTGAGGTGACTTCACTTCCATCATACAGTACTCCTCTTCTTTCCTTCCTTTCCTCTTTGCTTACACTATTCATGCATTCTCATTTTGCAGACTGGAAAACTACTTAAAGAATCAGACAAGGAATCTGGCCATAAAAAGACTGTAACATCACTGGCCAAATCTGCAGACGGTTCCCATTTCCTTACTGGCTCCCTTGATAAGTCTGCTAGGGTATTAACTTTTATTTTCCTTTATTTTCTCTTTTTACTAATGTTTCTCTTATCTCTATTTTTTCTCCAGAACTTATTTTATTTCACCTAATCAGTTTCTTTTTTTTCCATTTAAACTAACATCTTTTGGCTATTTTCTAGCTTTGGGATACTAGAACATTGACTCTTATCAAGACATATATCACAGAACGCCCAGTCAATGCAGTTGCAATGTCGCCTCTTCTTGATCATGTATGTATTGCGAATCTTAAATTAGTTAACCTTGTTTTGTGATTTTCATATGAATGCAAGTAATTTTGCTTCTTATTTGATTGATGCAATTATCCTAGAGAACAATGTGGGGTATTGTTTTAGGAAGCCCCTTAAATACATTCCTAGCCCCTTTCTTTCTTGGTACAAATTTATTCCCCTCAAACCACTTTCACAATTGTTGCACGTCCCAATTGCTCACTAACTCACTTAATAAATGCACTTACAAACTTTTTTGCATTGATATCTATGATAATATTCTATCTGCTTTAGTTTCCTTCCTTCATTTTATTTGGGTCATATTGTCGTTGTATGATTTTCTGAATTCCATACCCTTTGTGTAGGTGGTACTTGGAGGTGGTCAGGATGCATCAGCTGTTACAACTACTGATCATCGCGCTGGCAAGTTTGAAGCCAAATTTTTTGACAAGGTAATTTTTTCTTCCAATACTATTTTGTGTTCTCTATCAATATTGAAAGTCTGTTTATTTGGTGTTTTTATTTCATAATTGGTACTTTCATTTGTTTAGATTCTTCAAGAAGAAATTGGAGGTGTAAAAGGGCATTTTGGACCAATTAATGCATTGGCCTTTAACCCTGATGGAAAAAGGTATATTCTGTGTTCTTCACCTCCCTTTTGGGTTGCATCATAATGTAATTTTAATCTTTGAAGCCTTCCATTCGTTGGAGAAGCTGACACCCATGAATATGTTAAACCTTTTATTTTGTATAGTGAAAACGCACCATTTCTTTCACATAACTGTTTAAAATGTTAATATCTTGCCTTGTGCTGTTAACTCTGCATAATTGTCTAATATTATATGTAAGGTATAAATATAGACACACCTCAGTTTCACTAAGTTGGGGTTAGATACATTGATCAACCAAAACAAATTTTGTATAATTATAAATATAAGTATACATTTCATCATTTGGTTATGGAGATGAACATTTACATGAAATGTAACCTTGAATGAAGGTCCCTGTAGTTGTTATATATAGTAGTTACGGTGATGGCATTTGTATATAGGAAAGGATGCATAATAATATGACATAAACTAGTGCTATCTTGTCATTGATCACAAACTGATGAGACTATCAACATTCACTTGTCTGTTACCAAATAATATCATTTGCCCCTTAAATTAGAAGAACTTTTAATTTATGCTAAACATTGTACTTATTCTCTGTATTATATAATTAAAATTATTATGGAATGACTTTGAAGAGACAACCGATTTTCATAGGACAATCTATATAGTAAATCGACACATTTATGGTGACCATCTTATGATTTCAATCATATGTTGCGATTGTAGCTCGTCATTTGATTTATGTGACATATTATCCATTGTTTGGTATAATTTTTTCAATTATAATAATATCTCTCGAAATTTCTAATAGTTTCCTCGTTCCCTTTAGTGATAAGAGTCCTGATTAACCATCGAGGTGTTTTCTTTTATTTGTTTACTACCCTTTCTTATTTATTTATTTTTTTTGTAGTTTTTCAAGTGGAGGTGAAGATGGTTACGTACGGTTGCATCACTTTGACCCAGATTATTTCAATATCAAAATATAATGCGGGTTGATTTGTGGTTGGTATTAGGTGTGGTGTTCCTAGATGTTAGCTTTTAATTTCTTTCACATTATATTTATGTAATGCCGATGTGAATACAAATGCTGTTATCTTGATAATCTGGAAGAATTTTACGAATGAAATTTTCCATTTTTGGTTTATTTTGTCGCATTAAAATTGTCAGTTTTGGTTGGACTGGCACACATTATTAAGGTTTCTTCGCACGTCACATGATTTTGATGAGATTAGAAGTTTGGCATCTGCTGTGGGGAAAAAGGGTTCAACTCCTCGCGGGGTAACCATAATTGTTTTCAATCCTAATAAATTGAATTGAGTCGGGTGGTAAACCATTAAACAATGCCCGCATTTTTCTTTCGAACAGATTCCAAAGACGACATGGGAAACAATCTTTTGGTTTCTCTAGTTTAGGCCCTGTGACTTTTTCGAGAAACATAAGAAAATGTTTTATCTAATCGGGCATATTTTGCTTATATTTTCATTTTTCATTGATATAGAAGTAAAATGAATCTTTTAATCTATCATAAAATAATATAGATAAGAGATTCAAAATTAAATTTTTATACCTATCCAAAGGTTATTAAATTTGAAAGACCAGAATTAACTGAAAGAAAAGGAATTGAAAAAGTTATTAATACTACTGCCAAAACATTTTAAAAGATGAAAGGAAATAAAAACAAGCCACTGGCAGGAAACTTATAGTTGAATACCTCCTCAATATTAATTTGAATCACTCCTCTTGATCACATTTTACATGTACAAAAAAAATTAACTTCTAAATTAAAAGGGTTATATGATGTTCGTAAAAAATAAATTAAGTAAAAAAAAAGATATTAAATATACACAAATTTAGTTGTTAAATGATTAGATTAAAAAAATATTTTCATTTTAAAAAAAAAATTCATTTTTTATTCGACACTCTAATTCTAAACATATTTTTAAGAAATATGCAGATCATGAACATCGTGTTAATATTTATTTAATAATTTCCGCTACTGTTTGAATTATGAACATACATGTCTTATTTTATTAGTGTGCAGCAAGGAGGTTATTTAATTTTTGTGGGTGTATATTAAGTTGGAAATTATTGTTGCTGTTGTTATGACACGAAAGAAAACTTGGGGATTGATTTTATTTATAGAATAGTTTGATACGTCAACCCAATCCAATTGAGAAGAAAGGCATTGGCAGCGAGGTTCGATGGAAAGGGCGGCACTGGTTCGTTCTCTGTCGTGCTCCTCTGTTTTGTGCAGCAGATACAAACACTTGTGTCGCCGCTCATATGCGTGTTCCTCCGTTCCTTTCTCATTCCCAACAACATCTACATCAACATCCACAACCACAACCACAACCACCACTACTAGGCCTTCTCTCCGCCGCCGCTCCTTCAGATTCTTTCCCTCTTCTTCCCCGCCCCTTTACTTCCCTATCAGAAAACACTTCTCTTCTCTCTCCCCTCGAGCCCTTCTCTCTCCTTCTCAAGGTAGCTATCTCTCTATCTATCTATCTATCTTTATTCATTTCGATTTTTCTTTTCATGGTTCGACTTGGATGCAGATTTCATTGAGGTTAAGGATGATGTTGCCCATAAATTGGGGTTCGAGAAAGTTTCCGAGGAATTCATTCCAGAATGCAAATCAAAAGCAGTGCTTTTCAGGCACAAGAAGACCGGGGCTCAAGTCATGTCTGTTTCCAATGACGATGAGAATAAAGTCTTCGGCATTGTATTTCGCACTCCTCCGTAAGTCCACTTCCACTGCATTACATGCACTATGTCTTTGCCAACTATTTTGCAACTGCAATTAATGCATGTGTCTGTTACTGTTCACTCACTATCACCTCTTTACAGCAAAGATTCCACTGGTATCCCTCACATCTTGGAGCATAGTGTATTGTGTGGCTCACGAAAGTACCCTTTGAAAGAACCATTCGTTGAACTGTTGAAAGGAAGCTTGAACACTTTCCTCAATGCTTTCACCTATCCTGATAGGACATGTTACCCAGTTGCTTCCACAAATACCAAGGTCAATAAATTCATCTCTGAAATAAATTTCTGCTCTTTCATTCTTGATTCTAATGGTTAACACTGACACATCTTCCTGAACAGGATTTCTATAATTTGGTTGATGTCTACCTGGATGCGGTTTTCTTTCCCAGATGTGTGGAGGACTTTCAAATTTTTCAACAGGAGGGCTGGCATTTTGAGCTCAATGATCCTTCTGAAGATATCACTTATAAAGGTTTGGTAAAACATTGTTTATATCTCTTTCTATCCTTCTATGCCGTACATCATCTGTCAGGCATTGATATTTTTGGACTATTATTCATTTCAATCGTTTCTAATGATGTCTCGTTTGTTGTTCCAGGTGTTGTGTTTAATGAAATGAAGGGTGTCTACTCTCAACCAGATAATATACTTGGCCGGACTGCTCAACAGGCTAGTTTTTTAATGGCTTTCCCTTTTCTTTTCTTTATGTATTTGTATTGAGCTTTCTCCTTTTCCTATCCTTTTCTTTGCTTGCATTTCTTACATGTAGACTCGAACATTTTCAACAGTTTTAATGTGATCCTTAAAGTTCATGGACGGTGGGCGATACTTAAAGCCTTCTCTTTATTACATGATCTCTTTACAGCTGGTCCTTATAAAAATGTCCGATAATATAGTCTGTAGATGATTTTTCTCTTTGCTGTCAGCATTGAGTTTTAAATTATGTTGATTTTTATTATTGCAATTTTTAAGCCCGTCTCTGGACCCTGAAAGCATCACATTCTCTAAAGTCATTGAATTTGTTAGTTTCAATTTCTATTTTAATCAATTATGAGAAGTTTTATGACATTTTTTTATAACTTCAATTTGTGTGCTTTCATTATTGATACAGGCTCTTTTCCCGGACACTACCTATGGTGTTGACAGTGGAGGTGATCCTCAAGTTATTCCCAAGTTGACATTTGAGGAATTTAAGGTTTGTCTTGAGAATCATGTTAAATAATTGGTGTAGTATATAGCGATAGCATTCATGTATTCCAGGATTTTTGCTTGGGATTTAGACTTTTAGTTGTTTGTGGCCACCAACATTGTTTTATGTAGCATGATCGGAATAATTAAACATTTTCATTTTTGCATTTATAACTTGTTGACCTTTTTACTTCCATGTAGACTACTGTAGATCTCATCGTCTCAGTATTAGCTATTGTGAATATTTAGTTGTTTAATTTAAGATAGTTTCAATTTCACTTAATTGACAGGAATTTCACGGCAAATATTACCATCCTAGCAATTCACGAATATGGTTTTATGGAGATGATGATCCAAATGAGCGCCTCCGCATCCTTAGCGGTAATAAATTTTAGTTTAACTTGCTCCTTAAATATAGAGACTGACAATTGGCAAGAGTGGCCTTGTTATAATGCTCTTGTAGATTCAAGTTCTGAATCCTGATTAGAATGAATGACTAAAGCCTATGGCCTAACTCACAGTTCAAACACCTTGAGGGAACACTTTCAGTGCTCACAAAAGGCCCTTCTGAGTAAGGTTTTAGCCAAGCAAGTCAGCATTGAGCAAGCTGTTACATTTCCCTTTGTGTATAGTTTTTAAGCAACAGCAAGAAGGGTCTTTCTCAAATATAAAATAACAGAATTCCGTGGATAAATTTGAATCGCAATTGAAATGACATTGTCTTTTTCGGATGATATTTGATCTCCTCCCCCCTAATTGACTTATTTTTTCTATCTAATAACATTTTGTCTTTTATAAAAAAAAAAATTATCTATTTTTCAAGGTCTAAAGGAAGGACTTTTTTTATTCTTTGTAATAGTGTGGTAGAGTAATCAAATCTACATCGACATGTTAAACATATTCCTATGTCTTCTGAAATTATGTTAATAGCTCATTTTAAGAATTGGAACAAACATGAAATTGTATCAAGTTCCCTTTCAAGATCCTATTCTGATATTGTCCAAGGGCTTCCCTTATATTTCTGGATTTATCTTTCTTTGGATTTATATGTTTTACTTCTTATATCTCCATGTTTTTTTACACTTGTTTTATACACCGTTATGTTTGTTCCTGACTAAAAGAATATTAATGGCATGACTTCATTTTTTTCTGTTTATGGTATCTCAAACCAGTTATGAAGGGTGTTTGGACTTGTAGCAATTAGCTACTAACTTCTTCCTCTTCTCTATTGTCTAGAATATTTGGACTTCTTTGATGCTAGTTCGGCCCCAAATGAATCAAGGATTGAACCACAGAGACTATTTTCAAAGCCAGTCCGGATTGTTGAGACATATCCTGCTGGTGAAGAGGGTGATTTGAAGAAGAAGCATATGGTCTGTCTTAACTGGTTGCTCTCTGATACGCCCTTAGACTTGGAAACTGAGCTGACACTTGGATTTTTGAATCACCTTCTGTTGGGCACTCCTGCTTCACCTCTAAGAAAAGTTTTGCTAGAAAGTAGACTTGGCGATGCCATTGTTGGTGGTGGGGTTGAAGATGAGCTGCTTCAGCCTCAATTTAGCATCGGAATGAAGGGTGTTTCTGAAGATGATATTCATAAGGTAGAAGAACTGGTCACAAGTACACTTAAAAAGTTGGCAGAGGAAGGTTTTGATACTGATGCCATTGAGGCTTCTATGAATACAATTGAATTTTCTCTCAGGGAGAACAACACTGGGTCATTTCCTCGTGGGTTGTCCCTCATGCTCCAGTCCATTGTAAGATATGCTAAATTTTTTGTGATGTTGAAAATGGGCATCTTTTGCTTATTGAGATTTATAATTGTTTTGGTTTGTATTTATAGGGTAAATGGATTTATGATATGAATCCCTTTGAGCCACTGAAGTATGAGAAACCTCTTCAAGACCTAAAATCTAGAATAGCAAAGGAAGGCTCTAAATCTGTTTTCTCTCCTCTAATAGAGAAATTCATCTTAAACAATCCTCATCAAGTTACTGTGGAAATGCAGGTACTTGATTATTTATTTTAGCCTTGAAAACCTGTGTTAGAGTGAAGCTATTTTGCATAGAATATGTTGGTTGTTATTGATGAAAAACATTCCTTTTCAGCCTGATCCTGAAAAGGCTGCTCGTGCTGAAGCTGCAGAGAAACAAATATTGCAGAAAGTTAAAGCTAGTA